AGAGATACGCAAATAAATATCATTGACTGTCATAAGAGGTCAGTCACTTGTTAATATATAAGACTTAACATATTAGATTAGATTCAGATGTTAGTAAGAATGGTAACATTTGAATTCAGGTTAATCTACAATATAAAAGTTTCACATAATTAGTCAATCAGTTCTAAGGAACGTAAGACATGGTTTCTGTCTTTATTTGTCATCAAAGTACACAGGTTTATGTACCGCCCAACCACATTGTATAGAATCATGGGTAAGTCACCTGTTGGCGACCTCCAATAACTTAACACTTCAGTACAGTACTCATGGTATTAAATTATTTAGACCAGTAGCCAAATTCCAACTTGATCGACAGAATTCAGTCAACACTAAGAACAACTAGACAAATATGACGCTGATCATTATTGAGTGATGAATAAGTTGAATGAGGATTATAGATACCACCCAGCTGTCCAAATCGAATTTCATGGAGTTGGGTTCGAGATTATAAATTATTGGTTGAAATAATAATGATAATCAGAACGAAGTAGATGAGATGTGGTCAGCAATGAAATCTAAGGCTCGTATTTTGTTCCATTTGTGATTCGTCAGCTGAATCTACCTGCATCCCACAATTCCCATCCACTCCAGTACTCCAATCGAGTTCGTTTGTTACAAACACCATCATGTTATCCACTAAGCACCAGCTACTGATTACAAATAGAAGTGAAGTGAATATTAACTGTGGGATACAGGTCAATCCAAATGACTAATTTCAAGAAGAAACTGAGTGAGAGTTCTGTATTCCAACGCTACACACACTGCATTTCATGTATTCTAAATTAACTGGTGCGATAATGGCAATACCGAGATAATCCGTGCAAGCTGTACATTTACTAACCGATGTAGATCAAATTTCAGTTAATCTATTTCAATTAAGGTTCTAATCAGAGAAGTTATATCTAAACTGTTCAGGAGGCGGCGAGGACTGAGAACAATATTCTCAACATAGGGTTTCGCTAAAATATTTTAAGATATCAGAAGGGGGTTTTGTAGATATTATAGTAATTTCAATAGTTGAGATTATAAGTCAATTAAAGCTAGACCACCATGGAAAACCTGGAAGCACTGGACGACCGTTTCGTCCTATTATGGGACTTCTCGGCAATGTGCACCAAATGGTCTAACTTCAATTGACTCATGATCCTAACTATTGTAATTATGTTAAGATAATTGATTTAAATAACAATGAAATTCAGGATAAACGTTTTGTCTTATTAAAAACTTGACATTAATTAAAGTGGTGCAGATATACCCAGTTGATATTGATGTTGGTTTGTTCTCTGAGCTGGGTGGTTTGGTCGTGGAGCTTTCATCGTCCTTCTGAACGACATCATCAGCACAAACTTCGGGTAGAAGTGAAGTTTGTGCTGATGATGTCGTTCAGAAGGACGATGAAAGCTCCACGACCAAACCACCCAGCTCAGAGAACAAACCAACATCAAAATCACCCACCTGAGCTACAAATCTTCTCCACCACCCAGTTGATATCTTCCATAAAATTTTAGACTATCCAGTTTACATCATTTTTTGATTTCTCTTATTTCATCTGTTATTTGTGTTCAGAGTTGGGTTGTTTAAATTTATTTGCTTAACTTGTCTGTTTTTTTTTTTATCTCAATAATCTCCTCTCTCTATGTACTGAGGAGATGGTGAATGCACATGTAAACTATGTTTTACTTTCCTTAAGACTGTTTGACTGATAATATAAAACGTTTTGGTATGGATTCCCCTGAATTTGAATGTTATCATTCATATTGACACTTGAACCCAATCTCTATCATCTGAAACTTTAGATAACTATTCAAGCTCGACTATAGATTCATAATAATCAATAAACCGTTTGCTGGGTGTATTATGCATCTTTTATTCGTTGAATGGATTGTTTTTACTTTCTAAAGTGAAAGATACTGGGTTCGAGTCCCAGAGTGAACATCAACTCTGAGATGCAGTAAATCCAATTGACTAGTCCCAAATAGAACGAAACGCTCGTCAAACTGGATTCAACTGCTAGCCACTATCCATTTTTGCTTATAAAGTGTCACTATGTTATAACATTGTATAACTATTCTAGTCATATGAAACAATTACCCAAAATTTACAAAAGGATCATTTGAAACAATGACAAAATTGGATATAAAAAGGTTACATTCACTGACTTTTCTAATCTATCACATATTCACAACCGATGTAACCTTTCGGATTTGAAAAACAAAACAACAAACAAAACAAACAAAGAACAAAGAGACAATTTAATAAAATAACAGGGAGAAACACATTCAGTTCTCCTACACACACACACTTACACATACACACACACACACACTCACGGACATACAGATATACAAGCAATAAATTATATTATTCGTGTTATATTCATATTCAGTAAATAACATTCAATAGGAATGTGTATCGAATTGTCATTCAATTTAAATAATATTGAAGTATTGAACATTGAAACAATGTAATTGAACATTGAATATATACATTATCATTTATGATGTTTTAATGTATACAATGTTTTAATTAAGAAATACAAGTCAAATACTTAACAATTTACTCCTGTTACTTCTGGTGGGGCAGCATAGACCGAACGCCAGCATTCTTTATCCAACTCTTTCCTGAGTAATCCTTTCCGGTTCTTTACAGTTGTTATTCATCCTTTTCATATCTGCTTCTATTTCCCAGAGTAATGTGTTCTTTAGCTTTCCTCTTTTCCACTTTCTTTCAGGATTACAAGTTAGGGATTGCCTTGTGATACAGTTTAGTGATTTCTTTAATGTATGTTCTATTCATTTCCAACGTCTTTTCCTAATTTCTTCTACAGCTGTGAGCTGGTTTGTCCTCTCCCACAATAGGCTGTTGCGCATGGTATGTGTTGAGTATTCTGCGTAGACAACTGTTTATAAATACTTGTACCTTCTTGACGATGGTTGTAGTAGTTCTCCACGTTTCAGCTCCATACAGTAGAACTGACTGTCTTGACGTTCGTATTTGAAGATTCTCACTTTAGCACAAACATAATTTCTCATTATTATTATTATGGCGAAACTATAATTTATGGATGAACCAATCAGATTTACGATAACAGGTCTTCAATTTCAATGCGAAATTCTTTATCCACTCAGCTTAAAAGCCACTTGGCATTTTAGCTGATGTCAGTTCGTAATGAAAACCATAAACCTAATCCTTATCCTTAACCATCAACTGTAAATCATAATAGTTATCCTTTATACAGGTTTAAAATCAACATTTAGTCCTAGTCAGTAGATGGACATTCTCAAGTCCACTTTAGCATTACTTAAAGATTGTCCATAAATTATAGTCTCTCCATTATTATTAATATTACTGTTAGTAGTAGTAGTGGTAGTATCTGTATACTTATTTTGTAGTCTATGGTATCTATGCAGTTAAAACAAGCTAACCATTCCTTCTTTCATTGTCTCTAGGGATAAACTATTGAAATGAAATCCTGTTGCTTTTTGTAATGTTTAAATTTATTAAAGGAACAGATTATATACAATCAAATAGTTTCAATATAACATGTAAAATGACTTTTATAAGGATACGGTCACTTTTCTTTTTTTAGCATATTTGATTATGGAGTTTATTAAAGTTTGTAGTAGTTTAGCATCAGGGATTGATCTTATTTAAACAAACATTGAATGTGAGGCTATTCATCGGTGGGAAGTCATAGTAGCCCCAGGAATCGAATCGAAGGCCTGCATAGTTTTAAATCCTAAGTATGATTCCGTTTGGTTTGAACAAATGAAATAGTAATTAAATTGATCTTCTTTCAAGAAATACATTATTTTTTCTAATCCATATTGTTTTATTGTTTAGTGATTGAATATTTGTGTATGCAAGATATTTACATTTCAAGTGACCATTCAGTGTGTAAACTTTTAATTCCTACATAATGTCAATCGTGGCTAAGATAGCTTACGAAGTCAAATCTCACAGGGTGTCGAAATTTACTTAAGAATGATAGGTACATAGGTTTCTATTGAATACCATCAATCAATGAACAGGAGATCTATTCTTCCTTTCAATTATTGACTAGGTCTTACTATCAGATAGTAATTTGTCATATTTATATGATTAAACTGTAATTTGAGTTTCATCAAGTTGGGTAAGATTGGTTAGACTCTTACCGATAGTATCAATTCCCTAAAAATTACGGGAATGTCTTACTGACGAGTACTAACTAGAAATAAACTTGGATCTAAAGTCTCTTATCATCTCTCATCAACCATCTAGCATCTTAACATAGCGTACTCAGTGTCAATTCACTTAGACTAGTGGCTATATTACAACTCGGTAGAGAGAATTCAAACAGCACTAAATGACTAGATGAACACGACATTGATCAGACGATTTTAGTCATTAAATTAAATTGATTAACTCTATATCAGGAATTGGTGTTTATTATTTCATATTGTCATTGCATCTCATTGTATGCCCCCGAAAGCCCTGGTACGGCCGAGAGTGGGAAGAGTCCGCTCTCCCTCTCCAAATATGGCCATGCGTATATAGCCTCTATCAGAGAAGTCCTACTCATTGCCTTCTCGTAGCAATACTGTTGTTTACGAAATTGAGAGAACGAAAAGCGAATATCCAGCGCTTTAACCGGGTTGGTGGATACGCAAAGTTCACCTAGGGGAGTTGGAATATCTCTATTCCAAACCAATGGTACACATAGGTTCCAGTATTCTGAGAGAACAAATGGCGTATAAATCAATTGTTGGTCACCGACTACCATGTGACTGCATCTCCTCACGATGCTCTACTGCCTTATGGATCAGATCTTTAGGTTAAAAGCTTTGGGTGTGGGCCCCATATGTATCTGGTGACCCTTCGTAACAATATTTATGTGTTTAAATAAATAATCTTATTGTATTCCATTGTTTATAGTTAAATGATATTAATGTAACCTTTTGTTACTTTTCTCTTTTTTCCAGGTCATTCAAATATACATTTAATTATAAATTATAATGTCATCAAAATTCAAAAAAGATTCCTACAATTTAAAACATCCACCTTTTACACCACCACAACCACCGTCATTACCATCATCTTCACCATCATCTTTATTAAATAAACAAAATAAAAAAATGATTAAACGTTCAGTGACATTTGAACAAAGTATCAATTCAAAATCATTATTGCCTTCTACCTCTTCTACTTCTCCTTCTCCTTCACCTTCTTCTTCTACTTCTTCTCCGTCGTCTTCATCTCCAACATCATCATATTGTACAAATCTATGTTATAAACAAAAAAACTCTTATACATTTTCATATTTATTACGTATTAATCCTCCAATATTACCCGGTGATATTTTAAATTATATAGAATTGAATAAATCTACTTCAACTATATCTACATCTATTATGTCAAGATCAAATGTCAATATAAATTCAAATGGAAAAGTTAGTTTATATCTCGTTTATATTTAAGGTGTTTTCTCTTTTGTTCTGGTTTGTTTGTTTGTTTGTTTTAATTTAAAGTAGATACTTATAGGGAATGGACATTAAGTGAGGTATATTTATGATCATTGTCAGTAAAAATCCACCCTTATGAATGTAGATAGGACTAGTATATTGTGTAGCAGTTCACTCTGTTCTATTTTACGGCTCTCACCTACTGTGATCACCGGGTAAGTAATGGTGAGGTTAGACACAGGATATTAGGGAATGATGGTAAATCAGTTGATGAAGTCATGAATCTTCATCGACATCACCTATGGCGAAGACAACATATCCGTCTATGAATTAAGGATGATTATACTGCACAGCAGTTCGTTCTGTTCTACTTTACGGCTGCGAAACGTAGTCATTAAGAGTAGAAGATACTCGTAAGTTACTAGTATTTGACCACAGATGTCTTAGAAATATTGCCCACATCTGCTAGGATTACCGGGTTAGTAATAGTGAAGTTAGACGCAGGGTATTAGGGAATGATGTGAAATCAGTTCGTGGGGTTATGAACCTTTATCGACTGAGATGGTTGGGCCACGTGTTACGTATGCCTGAACACCGATTACCACGACGTGCTATGCTGACTAGTGTAAGGGATGGTTGGAAGAGAGTTAGGGGCGGCCAAACCAAAACATGGCATCAGTCCAGAAAGTCACTAACTTTTAGTCTGAGCCATGTTGGCAGATGCAGACTACCTGGTTGGGGTCTGCGTGACTATCGTAACCAATGGTTGGAGACTCTGGGTGACATGGCTGAGAATCGATCACAATGGTGTAGGTGTATACACTCTTTATCTTCTCTTAAACCTTGAGATTAAAATTGCTTCATATCTCTCTTCCTTCCTATACTATATCTTTATATACAATGTTTCTTTTATATATTACCACCACTAAATTAACTAATTCTATGAATCCGGTGTTCATCTTGTTGTGCTAAGGACCGATGCATATATGTGACTGGTCCTACGTTGTAGCTAACTGACTGACTGACTGGATTAGGTTGGGAATTATGACTCAGATTCTTCGATTTAGGCAACCAGATAGAATCTATAGTCCTTTATACACATAAATGCCATTGCTCAAACATTGGTACACCTGTACTGCGTAAATGTGTTACAACGTTTGTGATGGGATGCATATGTGTGAATTTGTATAGCACAACTACCTATTAATGTTCAATATGTGTATAATATCTAGCAGTTTTCTGTCTATTTAGTGGATGAATGTTCTTCATAAGAGCATGACTCTCACTGGAGATTTCATTACAAGCCGTAACTTTCACGTTATTTGCTTTCTTCATCTTGGGATTTGCGATACACTACGATGTCATGCTCACAGTAGACATTTGTAGGTAGCTTTAGATTATTAAGATGAAGTACCTAGTGAAAATTACACTGTTATATATAGCACTGGCACACTAAATGAACGGAAAAATACTCAAAACGGAATATAGTTAAATTTTATTAAACACTGATGAAGGATGGTCATCCCCATGGGAACACTTTAAGGTCGACTGAATAGTTTAAAGATATTCTGAACTCCACGTAACGTGCTTCTCTCTTTTTTTTACTGGGAACATCATATGATTAATGATTTCGAATACACTGTTTGAATATCTGGTGCAATTTCCAAATGGTTTACAGAATAGGTAGATGGTTGTAAGTTATCGACAGAGAATACAGTCAGTTAATTTCATAGTTTCCCGGGCATTTATTTATATATATTTAAATACATAAACATTGTTACAAGGAAGCATCAAATAGATATGCACCACATAAATCATTCAATTTATATGATTGCTGGTATATTCCTCGGTTGCCCAAACCGAAGTAGGTGGTTTCTGGGGCCTTGATGTGACACCATATTAAAAGACTACGTGTTCGCATCACATCGGCCCACCATTTTTGTAGAGCGTAAATCTGACTCCAATTAGATCGTGTGGATGATTGTTGTCAAAATATACATCCTGTCTATCCTCGTATGTAATAAATGACTTAATTCGCATCGGTGAATAACAAAATTAAATAAGTCAGATACGAGAATGGATTTTGAATACATGTATTTTGAACACTCATTGATCTGGACAGGAAATCAGAGGGATGAAGAGAATAGAACAGAGCGAAGCGAAAATGACGCATATTGGAGATGGCTTACCCACCCTACAGGTTTTCTTATGGGGCCATACCCGGGCATACATTAATGATATGACATTTTCTGATCTCTGTCGGCTTTCTCCTAGTATATAATACCAGTCATAAATTATGTATTGCAACTGATAATGGATTGAAATATATCCAAGCTACTTCAATCAATGGGAAACAATGGACAGCTAGGATGCAGCTGGACGATCAAGACTTCGCAGATGATCTGGCTCTTCTATCACACACGCAACAACAAATGCAGGAGAAGCCTACCGGTGTAACAGCAGCCTCAGCAGCAGTAGGTCTCAATATTCACAGGGAAAAGAAAGACTCTCCGATACAACATAATATGCACCAATGCAATTACACTTGACGAAGAAGCTTTGGAGGATATGGAAACCTTTACATATCTGGGCAGCATCTTTGATGAACACGGTAGATCTGATGCACATGTGAGGGCGAGGATCGGGAAAGCAAGAGCAGCAAACCTACAACTGAAGAACATTTGGAACTCAAAATAATTGTCAATCAACACTAAAGTCAGAATTTCCAATACAAATGTCAACACAGTTCTATTGTATGGGGTGGAAACCTGGAGAACTACGAAGGCCATCATCCAGATGATACTGGTGTTTATAAACAGTTTTCTACTCAAAACACTTCTGATCCCTTGACAAGACACCATCTGCAACAACCTACTGTGGGAGACAACAAACAAGATTCGAGTGGAGGAAGAAATGAAGAAGAAGTGCTGGAATTGGATAGGACACACATTGAGGAAAGCACCGAACTGCATCACGAGGCAAGCCCTCACATGGAATCCTCAAGGTGAAAGAAGAAGAGGAAGACCAAAGAACATATTACGTCGAGAAATGGAGAAAGATATAAGAAGAATGAACAACAACTGAATAGAACTAGAAAGGAATACCCAGGACAATGTGAGTTGGAGAATGCTGGTCGGCGACCTATGCTCCATTGGGAGTAACAGGTTTAAGTAAGTAAGTAAGTAAGTAAGTAAGTACTTCAATCAATGACGGTTCTAAGCCCCATAAACATTATTCACTTAATGGTTTCATCCTATATGGTACTGGTTTCTTCATTGGCATTATTAATTAGAAACTTCTAACCGATATCTATCGTCTTCTAATGAGACATTAAACGGATCTATCAATCTTTGAATGTATTGTTTTACACATTTAAATATAATAATACAGGAAACAACAATAACAACAACACTTACATTTATAGGATATTATATCCCATTCAACTTAACCCAAGTGAAATATGTCAGTCTGTCAAAAAACAAAAAAATAAATTTCATACTTACCATACTTACCATTTGTATATTGTCTATAGTTGTTGTTTTCTTAAATGTTTGTTTGTTTGTTTGTTTGTTTGTTTGTGTTGCCTATCCATTTGACCTAGTTTATTGATTGATGATTCAACTTAGTTTAAAGACAGTTTAATAATTTCAGTCATAAAATATTCGGATGGTTGACTATTTTCTTTTTTTTTTTCAGTAATCTATATAAGTAGTAGTATTATTCATTTTTCTTTCTTTTTTTTTCTTTACCAATGATTATAAAAAAGAAAATAATAATGAAGAGAAAAATATAGTGAGATGATTTTCTAGGTTATTTGTTTTAATAAAGGAACTCAATTTCTTAGCTTCTTTGTTTATTATAAGTGAATGGAAAGTCTGAGGGAGGGGGAATAGGCTAGGGGGGGAGGGGTAAATTATTTATGTATATAAAAAATATCCACTCAAATATTGATGAGTCATGACTAGGGGGGTGAATTCAATAGTCAAATATGTTTGTATAGATACACACACACACACACACATAGATACGTATTTCTATGTTCAATAGTTATGCAATTAGAAACAAAATAGAAGAGAATAATTTAAATGAGAAATTGTATATTTATGAATATAAATAGAGAAATCTTTGTTCCATATTGAAAAAAAATTCTCTTTATGACGTGGCAATATAGATTGGGGAAATGATGGAAATTGTTTTTATGGAATTAGTTAGTTAAATAAAGAACTCAGAAGGGATTTTGTGGAAATTTTAGTAATTTTATATAGTTGAGATCATGAGTCTATTAAAGTTAGACCACCATGGAAAACCAGGAAGCACTTGACGGTCGTTTCGTCCTATTATGGGACTTCTCAGCAGTGCGCATCCATGACCTCGCCTCGCGAGATTCGAACCCAATAGTAATAATAATAATAATAATCATATGCTCATTAGTGACTGACTTGGAGAGGTAAATCCAAAATTTCTAGTGAGAAGCAGTGATCAGTGGAGTTCAAACCACGTCTGTTGTGAGATATCAATTCACTGAAGAAATTGGTGAACGGTTGCCCAACTTCGTGGATTGGTTGGAGTTAGACATAAACACCATCGGATGCCGGCTCAGTGGTCTATCGACTAAGTGCTCGCACGCAAGACTGGTAAGTCCTGGATTCGAACACTGCGAGGCGGACTGTTGAGGAGTCCCAGGTTTTCCATGGTGGTCTTCAATTGGCTCACGCTTTTAACTATGAAAATAAAGAACTATTGTTTGTTTTATAAGGAAAGATGGATAGTAGCGTAGCAGTGGAATTCAGGACATGCGTTTCGTCCTATTTGGGATTCGTCATAGGCATAAGGAAGTGGATATCAGGAATCAGTAACTAAGTGAATAACGTGATGGCGTTTGAAGCGAACAGTAGTGGGTTTGAGTCCTATAATGGACATCAACTCTAGGATGTAGGTAAATCCAGCCCACGAGTCTCAAATAGGACGAAACGCACGTCCTTGATTCCACTGTTAGCCACTATTTATCTTCGCTTATAATGCTTGTGTAATAAGGCTATATCGAGGCAATACGCACAGTATGCACATATGCCAATAAGAGACTGATCAATTACAGTTCTAAACATCAATGTGAAGATTTAACCAAACAATGCCAAGTGAATTATTGTTTGTTTATTTATTTTATACCGTTAGATTATTTCACTCTTTATTATTTTTTTTGGGGTGTACAATCAGACAACTGAGCCAGTAAGTTAATGAATACCCCCTTTCGTGATTTTGAAAAGGTATTATCAAAACAATACACAGCTTTGTTCTATCACACTTGATCGATAGTGGTCATGTAATAGATAAAAATAGATCATTTAAAATGATTTTTATATTAATCCCTTATGGGGGTCGATTTCGTCCCTTACAACATATACCAGAAGCTATAAGAAATCAAGGTAACAATCCAAGTCTTTATATTCATAAGAAAAAAAATTTATAACACCTTTTGTATTTTCCTTACCCAAATTAACCTTAATAAAAGATTTTCATTTTCTATATTCTTTGTTCGTTTATTTTTCATTTACTCCCTATTTTTGTTTTTCACTGTCCAATTATCTAGGTCCTTCTTATGACATAAACTTACAGTATCTATGACTGTTATTTCAATGTCTCAATATATTTCCCAATTTATTGACATAGATTAACCGACAATAAAATGTGAATTCAAGCGTTTTTGTTATTCTTATCCCAACTAGTACATCTGTTAGCATACCATCAGTTTATATATTTTACTCAATAAATGTAGTTATGTAATCTATTCCAATGTTATCATTGATTCATAAACTGTCATGATTGGTTTAATCATTTCATATATGTATATAAATATTACTTTGAGATGGTGGAGAAGATTTGTAGTTTAGGTGGGGGATTTTGATGTAGGTTTATTCTCTGAACTGGATGGTTTGATCGTAGAGCTTTTATTGTTTTTCTGAACGATATCATCAGCAGCACAAACTTCGGATAGAAGTCTGCATAGTAGAGTAAAGTCTAATGTTGTTCTCATTTAAAATATGGGAATTTTTAAAATTTTATTATTAATTTTTTGTAACAAAAAGGCGTCAACCTATTAGGAAGCCATGTTAGACCTGCGTATCATCATAGTTTTCATTCATAATCAGGGAGTGTCTACAATATTGAAAGGGTTGGTTAACATTAATATTATCCAGTGATGTGTTTAGAAAGGTTACAACTCAGCTATTCAGATTGTTAGTGATCAAGTAAAGGACTGAGATTTTTTAGATATTGATGGGTACCATTGTAGTCCCCCCATTATTGTTTGAATTCTAAGAATGTGGTTGTAGTGTGACCACTTTAGCTTAGGCAACTTGATTAGTTTTTGTCAATCCTCATCAATAGGGAATATAAGTGAAACTCAGTAAAAAAAGGATATTCTATCTCAAATATGAATATCATCAACTAATGAATTACGAAGTATAAGATTCATGATAAAAGCCGTGACCCATCTGAATTGATTTCAAACTACGAACAGAACTAGACAATCAAGTACTGAAATTTAGATGAAAGGATTCTTTAGAGATCATCTTGATTTGTAGGTGATGGATTCACTTAATTTGGACTACCATTGAAAAGAAACTGGGCAGTACAAGAAAAGTGTTTCATTTCATTATAGGTAAACACTATTGAGATCTTCCATATGCGGACGAAATAACTGTCCAGTACTCTATAGTTTTTAATGGTAACTCAATTGAGATTAAGTCATGACAAATATCACCCATAGTTAGTCAGTTACAACGTAGAACTTCGTACATACGTACATCAGTTCGAGTTGCCCTACCACATAAGCACAGAGATTCAGTTGTCGATTCAAATCATATAGTGGTAGAAGTAGTAAGAGTATTAGCATTATGTGAATGATTAGGGTTTGAAGATGTTATTAAAGCAGTATAATCCAATCAAATGAAATGTCACCCATAAAAGTTATAACTCATATCTGTTTGAAGATCTCACTTAAAATTTTACAGTTTTATATAGCTTTTTCAGTGTTCTTTAAAAATTCTTAGTTATGCATTTACACAACAACCCGGCTAGCTCAGTCTGTAGTGTATGAGCATTTGCACAACACCCTTCCCAAAATGAATTGAATTTCTCGAAGCCCACATCTTATTACTGTTCAATCACTGAGTTGTTGGAGTTCAATAAGTTACACTACTCTGTTTTAATTGACTTCTAAAATATCAGAGGGGGTTTTGTGGAAAATTCAGTATTTTCATAGTTGAAATCATGGGTCAATTGAAGCTAGACCACCATCGAAAACCTGCAAGCACTGGACGGCCGTTTCGTCCTATTATAGGACTCCTCAACAGTGCGCATCCACGCACTCGTGAGATTCCAACCCAGAACCTACCTTAACCGATAGACCACTGAACCGGTATCCAACGGTGTTAATGTCTAACTTCAACCAATCCACGATTTTGAGCGACTGTTGACCATTTGTCTTCAGTGAGTTGATATCTCTACAACAGACGTCGTTTGAACTCCACTGGCCACTGTTTCCCATTAGAACTCAAGGAAATATCTCTAAAATATCATCATTTCTCAGTTCAATCTTATAGATAAGTAATTGAAAGGATCTAGATTATCTCATTGTTATCATTTTGACTGAAACTTGATCTGTCTTGGCTGGCATATGTACAGCTTGTACGGATTATCTCGGTATTGCCATTATCGTACCAGTTAATTTAGAATACATGGAATGCAGTGTGTATAACAGTGGAATACAGAACTCTCACTCAGTTTCTTCTTGAAATTAGTCATTTGGATTGACCTGTATCCCACAGTTAATATTCACTTCACTTCTATTTGTAATCAGTAGCTGGTGCTTAGTGGATAACATGATGGTGTTTGTAACAAACGAACTCGATTGGAGTACTGGAGTGGATGGGAATTGTGGGATGCAGGTAGATTCAGCTGACGAATCACAAATGGAACAAGATACGAGCCTTAGATTCCATTGCAATCCACAACTTATTTAATCAACATTCCAGTTACTGTTTACGTAATATTCATTTTTAAAAAAATGTATTAATTTTTGTTTACTAGGTCAAGGTCATTGTCTGCATTAATCAAGACTGTAATCATAGTAATCATCACCACAACAATCGAGGTTTAGCAATAACAGCCACAACAGCATTGAAAACAGTCGGGAATTTATTATCACCAAATAGTCCTTTAAATACTATACATTTAAAAATGGACAGAAGTACTTCTGATTTTCCACCAATTTCATCTTCATCGAGTTGTATTCAAATTGATGAGAATAAAAGAATTATTACATTGTTAGATCCTACACCATCACGTCGTCGACGAGGAGTTGGTGGTGCTGTAAGAAATTATAAATTTGATAATATCGTAACACAGGATACATTGAAGGTATGCTATCGTTTTTCCGCAAATAGAAATTTCTATTACATGTTAACTTTCTGTGATTCCTGAGTGGTAACCAGTATGGTATTTATTTAATTCTTTTAGTGCTCATCAAAATTCTGTTGATTCAATCAATGTACCTATTCATCCAAGTGACTTAGGATTCCATGGATAATGTCAATATCTAAGTTGATTAGAGATAGTTGACTGAAAATCGTAGACTCAGGTTCCACGCTATTTGGGGTTCGTCGACACGATTTGTATGGAATTTAGAGGGAACTGATGCCTGTATTTGAGTCTGCCTCGTTCAGCTTCACAGTTTAAAGAAGTAACGAATGACTTCCTGTAAGACTGAAGTATTTGTAGTTGATTGAATAGTGATTAGCGACTAATATCATGTTTATCTAGGTCTTTTATGCTGATTGAATTCTATCAATTGAATTGGATTGTGAACACCAATCTACGTAACACAATATCTTGTACACCATGTTTGGACATAAGTTGGGGGCTGGAAAGATCTAACATGAATCCCTGTTTGACCACACTGTGGTGAAATTCGAGACTCTTTAGTATGGTATATTTGAAAGGAGCGTACGCTTCCTATGAGATTCGAACCTGTATCATTCATTGTGACAGTGAATGAAACTGTCAAGAGATATTAACGGTCGTAGGTTCTCACTAGTTGTCTCCAACTAATCAGTAACTAATATGTATAGATGTATATGAGTCGGTCAATCAAGGACAACGTAGAACCATATCATGAATCTTTAACAGACCAATATGACAGTAGTATGGTGTGAGAGATTGAGAGAATAAGGAAAACAATAAGATTACAAGCAGAGAAGAAGAAACAAAATTCTACATATCACAGCAGTTATCTAAACATAAGAAATGTATACTTCGAAGAGAATGAATGAAATCGACAAATGGAAAGTGTAATACGAAGATAAAGGATTATGTTCAATGTTTCAATAAGCATTGGAATTTTTGTTTACACCATGTCTGGCGCGAGACTAGTAGGTTCTGGGTTCGAATCTCACTAGGCGGGATCGTGGATGCGCACTGCTAAAGAGTCCCACAATAGGGTGAAACGGCCGTTTAGTGCTTTAATTGACTAATGATTTCAACTATGAAAATACTGAAATCTTCACAAAACCCCTTCTGATAATTATCAATATGCAAAGTGTAGTGTTTAATTGAAGCATTTTTAAATACTAGTTCAAGTTCTAGATAACTCTTATTTCTGACTGTTGTGTAAAGATGTCATTCTTTGAACAATGGTTGTGATTACGAGGCTTATTGAGTTTGTACTCAAATTTCCTTAACTGCTTAGTTCTAAAAGTATGGTTAGTGATGTTTTGTACTTAACGCGCTTAATCCGGTCATTTCCTCTTATCATAAACCAACACATCTCATACATTAATTGTTTACTATTCAATGTTCAATATATACACGGTTCAAAACAACATCATGTGTTTGAAGAGGTTAATTTACTAGAAGACTGTTTCGTCCTAGTGTAGGACTCCTTAGCAGTGCGTATCCATGATCCCATTTTCGGGGTTCAAACCGAAGACTTATCGGTCTTGCGCGTGAATGCTTAACCTGTAGACCACTGAGATGACATCTAATGGTGTTAATGTCTAACTTTAACCAACCCATGATAATTATGCTTTCAACCTTTTTGTTTCTTTTTTCTTTCAAACAAATAAACATACAATCTGTAGCAAGAATTTTGTTCTACGGTTCTCATTGATGCTTTAACTGCTGTGTTAAAAGGAAAAGATAGTTGTATACTAACTATTGGACATAAAGCTACTGGTGAGTTGGTTTTTTTCTTCATTTTTACTTCGTTTCCATAATTTTTTGGCATTAAAATCTCATTCAACGACAGATATACATTGATAACCAGTGTTAACTATGATGAAACGTAGATCGAAATAATTACGGCTAGATTCCAAGTGAGGGCTTGTCTTGTGACACAGTTTGGTGCTTTCCTCAATGTGTGTCTTATCTACTTCATACACTTCTTTCTCATTTCTTCCTCCACTGGAATCTGGTTTGTTGTCTTCCACAGTAGGTTGTTGTTAATAGTGTGTGGTCAACGGATCTGAAGTATTTTGCGTAGATAACTGGTAATAAAATCTTGTATCTTCTGGATGATGGCTTTCGTAGTTGTCCAAGTTTTCAGCCCATACAGTAGAACTGTATTGACATTTGTATTGAAAATTCTGACCTTGTTGTTGGTTGATAATTGTTTTGAGTTCCATATGTCCTTCAATAGTAGATATTCTGCTCTTGCCAATCCTCGAGTTTGTATATGTAGCATATCCAATGATGCTGCCCAGATATGTTAAGATTTTCACATCCTTTAAAGCTTCTCCGTAAAATGTGATTTGATTGGTGTATGTTGTGTTGTATCGGAGAATGTTGCTTTCCCTTTGTGTATATTGAAACCTACTTCTGCTGAGGCTGCTGCTACACTAGCCGTTTTCTCTTGCATTTGTTGTTGCGTGTGTGACAGAAGAATCAGATTAACTGTGCAGTCTAGATCGGAGAGCTGCATTATAGCTGTCCACTGTATCCCATGCTTCACCCCAGATGTTGACGTCTTCATAATCAAGTCAATCACCAGGATTAAGAGAAAGGATGAGAAGAAGTAACCTTGCCTGACACCGATCTTTACCTCGGATGAGTCGGTGAGTTGTCCTTTATGCACGATTTTGCAGCTTGATCCATCATAGAAATTCCGTATGGTGTCGACTATTATCTCAGGCACATCTTATTGTCGAAGAAGCCTCCATAGTACTGTCCTGTCTATGCTATTAAATGTTTTCTCGTAGTCAATGAAGTTGATGTAGAGTGATGAATTCCATTCAATTGATTGTTCCACAATGATCTGCAGAGTTGCGATTTGGTCTGTACACGATCGATCCTTACGGAATCCAGTCTGTTGGTCTCGAAGTTGGGCGTCCACGGAGTGTTTATAGCATAGTAGTAACTACTATCATTCCTGTTTTCAATTTCTTATATTATTCGAATAACTAAGTGAATTCAAACTTCATCCCACTCCACGAGCAAGTGGCTATCAGGACTCAGTAGTTTAGTGAATAACGAGATAGTGTTTGAAGCTAACAGTATTGCTTTCGAATCCCAGAGTGAACATCAACTCTGAGATGCTGGTACATCCAGCTGACGAGTCCCAAATAGGACAAAACGCGCATCCTAGTTTCCACTGTTAGCCATTATCCATCTTTGATTAAAGTATATGGTTCACTGATATTTTAGAATGCATAAATCTTAAATTGAATGCTTCTTGCTGTGATAAATTAATCCTATTGAATAAATATCAATCAAATGTTAATTCTTCGTTCAATGTTCAATGTTTCTCCCCCCCCACACACACATACACACCATTATTTAACGTGCATTTTACCGGGTTCTTTGTCGATTTGATAAACATTTAAATAATACTTTTGTTTAAATGCTAGTCAATAACTGAGAATCAATTGATTTCAATATTCTTACGCCTGTTGCTCCCAATGAAGCACAGGCCGCCGACCAGCATTCTCCAACCCACACTGTCCTCGCCTTTCCTTTCTAGTTCTATCCAATTCTTGTTCATTCTTCTCATGTCTGTCTACATTTCTCGACGTAATGTGTTATTTGGTATTCCACTTTCCCTTTGACCTTCAGGATTCCATGTGAGGGCTTGTCTTGTGACGCAGTTATGTGATTTTCTCAAAATGTGTCCTATTCCTTCCTCGTTTCTTCCCCCGTTGAAATCTGGTTTGTTCCCTTCCACATTAGAATGTTGCTGATAGTGATTTCAATATTCAGTGATAGTTAATTCATTTAAATACATAAACATTGGTATAAGGTGGCACCGAATAAATAAGAGCTACACAAATCATTCGATTGGTGTGAGGGCTTGAATATTGCTCGGATACCTCAACCCCTAGCAGGTGATTTTTTTTAAGAGGCCACTCCTTGAGCCTTTGACCTAGAAGTCTAATCCATAAGGCAGTGGAACAATGTTAGAAGATCCAATCTCATGATAGCCGGTGACTAACAATAGGTTCGTAAGCTATTTGTTCAATGATAAATTGTTTATATACATTTTTTTCTCTCCACATTCAGGTAAAACACACTCAATGATTGGTTATGATTATTCACCAATGGAATGTGGTATTATACCATGTGGAATAAGTTGGTTATATCAATTATTAAATTATCAAAAACAACGATATAATACAAGATTTTCTATAAGAATATCAGCTGTAGAAATTACTGGATTAAATGAAGAATTTCGTGATTTATTAGCAAATACAAAGGCATCATGTGAGTGTAATTGGATTATTATTATTATTGTTATTATTATCATTCGCTTTTCATCCTCTCAATTTCGTAAATAATACGTCACCACGAGAAGTCAGTGAGTAGGACTTCTCTGACAGTGGCTGTATACGTGTGGCCATGTGAAGGTAGCTCGAGAGGGTGAGCCGACTGTCCCTACTCTCGACCGTATCAGGGCATTTGAGGACTGAATAACTGTTGGACAAAGATGATTGACATTGGAAATATCATCGCAAGGTTGAAGCACATATTGTTACTAAAATTATTGGTTTAGATAAACTGAAACTATGACATACATGTGAGCTAATCAATACTTAGGGAGTATTTTGCTTTTGTTCGAAATTCACTTAAGTTACTATCAACTGAGGTTATTAGAGAAGTTACTAATAAGCATTTCAAGGCAGAAAATACAGACTGGTGGTTGTAGTCGGAGCTTAGTCATTAGGATTCGAAAAATATTCAGGACTTGATAAGTATATCATCTGTTATCATATCACTAAACAAAATCTTATATCATTCATTTTAGATGATGAAGAATATTCTGATAAATCACCAAGTCATTATTTACAAACTACAAATAGATCAATACAACAGAAGAATTCAACTTCATCATCATCATCATCATTATCATCATCAATGAATAAAACTAGTCTGGGAACAAATTATGAAAAGATACAAACAATTTCTGCTCAAATGATTGACAAATTGTCACATGTATGTGAATTACGTGCATCTACAGCTGAAAAAGCAGCTTATCTACTTGATACAGCATTATCAAATCGTACAATACATAATTGTAATAATTTATCCGGTTTATCACATATGTTATTTACATTACATTTATATCAATGTAAATTGGAGAATAACAGTAATGAAATGAGTAGTAAGTTGATATTTATGTTTATGATTAATTCTAAGGGTTGTCATATTGATCAGTAGGTGTCAGCTTAGCTTTGATGTGAATATTACCACTGAGATACATGTAAATCAGACTGATGAGACCAACAACAGATGAAACGGAGGGTTTTGAATTTCTTTTCTAGCCACTAACGAAATTATCGGTTATTTTGTGTTTAATGATTTTGCTTACTAATAAGTAGTTTGATGTTTTATAAGAAAAATATGTAGAACTTCAACAGTTTTGATTCAAAATAGGATTGTGAACATGTTTTTGTTTTGTGAGAGTATGTAGAGTTACAGTGTACTGTTTGTAGGATGAGGCATAATATAAATTTAAATTTAATCTATTCAACCTTCATTATAAGATTGTAGAAATTGTTGAGTTTTTTTGATTGAGATCATCAATCGATCAGTGTTAGATGACCATTGAAAACCTAGAAACACTAGATGGCCGTTTCGTCCTCAGCATTTTCGGCGTCTATTTATTGTAACTGTATTAACAATTATCTCTGGACTACTCAGTTGCTAATTTTTTGTGTACACACAAATGACTACGCTCAGCTTAATGAAAAAGCCTTAAAATATGTGGTTTTCTGAACACTACAAACGGACTTGTGAGTGTTCGAGATGACTTTGACTTCTTTCAAATTTCAAATGTCGTTCCAACCCTTTTCTGCCTAATCTAATCATTACGAAGTCTGATTTAATCAAGCTCGCAGTTCATTTTGCATATTTTGGGATTCATAGGTTTATTGACTGATAAGATCTTGGAAGACATGAAAAAGCTCACCTGACTTTTGTTCGTATGTAATAAGTATATGTAATAAGTAGAATGTGGAAACCTTTACATATCTGAGCAGCATCATTGATGAACACGGTGGATATGATGCAGATGTGAAGACGCGGATCGGCAAAACAAGAGCAGCATATTTACAATTGAAGAACATCTAGAACTCAAAACAACTATGTGTCAACCAACACCAAGATCACAATTTTCAATACCAATGTCAACACAGTTCTACTGTATGGGGTAGAAATTTGGGAAACTACGAAAGCCATCATCCAGAAGATACAGGTATTTATCAACAGTTGTTTACGCAAGATACTTCGGATCCGTTGACTAGACACTATCAGTAACAAGTTGATGTGGGAGACAACAAACCAGATTCCAGCGGAGGAAGAAATCAGGAAGAAGCGCTGGAAGTGGATAGAACACACTTTGAGGAAATCACCCAACTGCGTCACAAGACAAGCCCTCACATGGAATTCTGAAGGCTAAAGGAGAAGAGTAAGACGAAAGATCACATTCCTCCGAGAAATGGAAACGGACGTTAGAAGAATGAATGGTGATTGGATGAAACTAGAAAGGAAGGCCCCGGAGAGAGTGGGTTGTAGAATGCTGGTGGGCGGCCTATGCTTCATTGGGAGTAACAGGCGTAAGTAAGTAAGTAATAAGTATTCCTATTTGTTTTCATATCATGAACATCGCATCTAAATTAGACAAATAACAAACAAACTATTCAGTAGAATAAACTTAATATACAATACAATTCTTATTCGCTATGTATTGTTTCTATTATCAACCAGTTTCCGGTGGTAGAACAAAATTTCATTTCCTTGATTTGGGTTGTGGAAGATATGGACAACATTCAATTCATGTAAACAACAAATATGTTGAAGTAGAAAATAATTCAAATCCCAATGATCGTTCAACATTCAATAAAAATGAAACTAATATCGATACGACTGATTTCCATTCTCCTATGTCCATTGATAGTAATAATGTCTTGGAAGATTCAATATCCAACTGTACAACTACCCTTAGTCAAGAATCAAGGAATGTTGGACATAGAACACTATCAAAAGCTCTTTCATTATCTGGTATTGGTAGTGTTTTATTAGCTTTATTAACTGGTCGACGACAATTACCATATTATGATTCTTCACTTACTTATTTATTACGTGAAGCAATAACTGGTAATCAAATTCAACCATGTATCTTAGCTCATATATCTGAAAATGTACAATACTATACAGAAACATTACAGGTTAGTTGTATTGACTAATTCTTAGTATGTAAATGTTTAAAAGATGATTTAATTATGGAGATTAAATTTACCTAACATCTCTACTTATTTATTTAAACACATAAATATTGATGCAAGGGGGCACCAGATAAATATGTGCCACACAAAACAATGAAGATGGGAAAAGAAAGGGGTAAGATTCATATAAAAAAGGAGGGTAATGGTGAGGGGAACTGAAATGAACAACTAGAAAAACTTTTTCAGTTAAGAAAGTTAGAACTACTCTTTATGAAGAAAGTAAAAGAAGGTTACAGCAGGTTCGCCATTGTCTTCTATTCTGAGCAATATATGATAATGTCTCTAGTCACACCAACCAGGTAGTCGTGAAGGACCAACAGAAGCCAAGCCTTTGAAACTTTCTTTCATACCATGACACCATGTCATACACTGACCACCTCTTCTCTCTTTCCAACCAGTCCCAGAGTCGGCAAATAATGCACGAAGTGGAATTCTCTGGGACGACATTCGTAAAACATGTCCAAGCCACCGAAGTAGGTATTTCAAGATGGTGACATTAATTGGGTTGTCGTCCCTACGCCTGAACACATGTATCCAAACCTCTTCATTACTAACATGGTGTTGCCACTGGATGTCAACAATCGTTCGGAGACAACGATGATCGAACACAGAGAGACGTCTAATATCCTCAACTCGGAGAGGCCAGGTTTCACAAGCATAGAGCAAAACTGCTCTCACCGATGCGTTGTAAATCCGACCTTTTACAGCCAGACTAACATCACGAAGGCGCCAAAGATGGCCCAGATTGGCATAAACCACACTGGCTTTCATTATACGTGCATCAATCTCATCACTCACGCCACCACACTAATTCAGTTATAGAATTGGGTTTCACTTTGTTATGTTTGTGTGACAACAGTTCAGTTTCATGAAAGTAATAAACAGGATTTTTCTATAGAAGTCTATAACTATACAACTATGTGATACTATTGATAGAACGGGAGGAGAGTGTGTGAGATTTTTATATCTTTTAGTATAAAAAACGTCTCAGATTATCTCCAACTGTTTAATATTTAATCTAGGATTTTCGTCCATATTTCAATTCACCTAGTGGGTGAGTGTTGCTTTTTGGAGAGTAATTCTTATTAAACATTTCATTTCAAGCAGTGGACGTTATTTATAACTTCATTGTGAATATTTCTGTGTGGTATACCAGACATATTGGATGAAAAACACAAAAATAAAGAGAAATTTAAGGTCTTGAAATGAAATCTTTTATGAAATTACACTTTAATATGCAATACATATTCATCAAATGAGGGGATAAATAACCGAGAATGCTGGATACAATACACTTATTAAACATTAAAAAGTGACCTTCAAAATGATCTGGTATGGTCGAGAGTTGGGAGAATCAGCTCTCCCTCTCGAAATACTCTCATATGGCCACAAGTATATAGCCACTGTCATGGAAGTCCTACTCACTGCCTTCTCGTGGTGAGGTATTGTTTAAGAAATCGAAAAGACAAAAAGCGACTGTGACCGGGCTTTGACCGGGTTGGTGGATATGGAGGATCCACCTAGGGGATTTGGAAAACTCTGACTCCAAACCAATAATACACATAGACTCCAGTATCCCGAAGGACCAAATGGATTATGAACCAATTATTGGTCACCGTCCACCATAGGACTGCATCTCCTGACGTTGGTATACTGATTTATGGGTCATACCTTTAGGTCGAAGGCTCCGGGTGTGACCCCTTTAAGGAAACCACCTGCTTCGATCTGAGCACACACACAAATCAACAGACCAATATTTATGTGTTCAAATAATTTAAATAATAAAGGATTCTATATATTTCCTTTCTTTTTCTTTTCCAGGTTATTCAACTTGCTACAGAAATTAATCGACTTAGACGTCGCAAAATTATGATCAATCATATTGGTACAATAACTAAAAATCGTGAATTATCATTACCATTAACATTGAATACTAGTAAAAGTCATGAAGAAATTGGTTCATCAACATCAAATGATACAGATAATGATTTATTTCATAGAAATCAATCAAAATATTTACATAGACGACCAAGACTTGGTCGTTTATCCTATGCTAGATCATTAGGTTCATGTAGTTCTGAATTAGATTGTACATCAAGTGGTGAACAATCATGTGATACAGTAATTTATGTTGGTAATAATAAATTATTAGCACAAAATGAACGTCGTTTAAGTGATAGTCGTATTACATCATCTTCTATAAAAAATCTAGGTCCAAGAGGATTAGCTGATGGAAGTATAGATATCATAGATAAAACTCATAGTTGTAAAGGATCATCAGAATTAATAACTATGAATAATGAAACAATTAAACAACATTCAATGAATCAGGTAAGATCAATAGTTTAATCTATAATATAGTGATAAAATAATTATTATGCCAATAAGAGACTGGATACGCACTGCTGAGGAGTCCCATAATAGGACGAAACAGAAGTCCAATGCTTCCAGGTTTTCCATGATGGTCTAGCTTCAATTGACTCATGATTTCAACTATGAAAATACTAAATTCTCCACAAAATCCTATCTGATCAATAAGAGACTGATCAATTGTAGTTACTTACTTACTTACGCCTGTTACTCCCAATGGAGCATAGGCCGCCGACCAGCATTCTCCAACCCACTCTGTCCTGGGATTCCTTTTCTAGTTCTATCCAGTTCTTGTTCATTCTTCTCATGTCTGTCTCTATTTCTCGGTGTAATGTGTTCTTTGGTCTTCCTCTTCTCCTTTGACCTTCAGGATTCCATGTGAGGGCTTGTCTTGTGACGCAGTTGGGTGATTTGCTCGAGGTGTGTCCCATCCACTTGCAACGCTTCTTCCTGATTTCTTCTTCCGCTAGAATCTGGTTTGTTATTTCCTACAGTAGAATGATGTCGATAGTTTCCGGCGAACGGATCCGAAGTATCTTGCGTAGACAGATGTTAATAAACACTTGTATCTTCTGGATAATGGCTTTCGTAGTTCTCCACGTCTCCGCCCCATACAGTAGAACTGTCTTGACATTTCTATTGAAAATTCTAACCTTGGTGTTGGTTGACAATTGTTTTGAGCTCCAGATGTTTTTCAGCTGTAGGTATGCTGCTCTTGCTTTGCCGATCCTCGCCCTCACATCTGCATCTCATCCACCATGTTCATCAATGATGCTGCCCAGATATGTAAAGGTTTTCACATCCTCCAAAGCTTCTCCGTCAAGTGTAATTTGATTGGTGCATATTGTGTTGTATCGGATAGTCTTGCTTTTCTCTTTGTTTATATTGAGACCTACTGCTGCTGAGGCTGCTGCTACACTGGTCGTTTTCTCCTACATTTGTTGTTGCGTTTGTGATAGAAGAGCCAGATCATCCGCGAAGTCCAGATCGTCAAGTTGCATCCTGCCTGTCCACTGTATCCCGTGATTTCCTCCAGATGTTGATGTCTTCATGATCCAGTCGATGACCAGGAGAAAGAGAAAGGGTGAGAGTAAGCAACCTTGCCTAACACCGGTCTTCACTTGAAACGAGTCGGTAAGTTGTCCTCCGTGGACGATTTGGCAGTTTAGTCCATCATAGGAGTTCCGTATGATATTTACTATTTTCTCAGGCACGCCGTAGTGTCGAAGAAGCCTCCATAGTGTCGTCCTGTCCACGCTATCAAATGCTTTCTCGTAGTCGATGAAGTTGATGTAGAGTGATGAATTCCATTCGATTGATTGTTCCACAATGATCCGCAGAGTTGCGATTTGATCTGTGCACAATCTATCCCTACGAAATCCACCCTGTTGATCTCGAAGTCGGGTGTCCACGGAATCCTTCATCCTGTTTAACAATACTCGGTTGAAGACTTTCCCTGGTATTGAGAGGAGAGTGATGCCCCTGTAGTTGTCACACTTGCTCAGATCGCCTTTCTTTGGTATCTTGATCAGAAGTCCCTTTTTCCAGTCTGTTGGTACTTGTTCTTCATCCCAAATCTTACTGAAGAGGATGTAAAGTATCTTGGCAGTTGCTGCTACATTTGCTTTCAGTGCCTCTGCCGGGATGTTGTCTGGTCCCGCTGCTTTGCCACTCTTGACTTGTCTAATGGCCATGCTGATCTCTTCAATTGTTGGTGGGCCAATATCGATTGGGAGGTCCATGGGTGCTGCTTGGACGTTGGGTGGGTTCAGTGGGGCTGGTCGATTCAAGAGTTCCTTGAAGTGTTCTACCCACCTGTTTCGTTGTTCTTCAATGTCGGTGATTACTTTGCCTTCCTTGCTTTTCACTGGTCTTTCTGGCTTACGGTGATTTCCAGCAAGTTTTTTTGTTGTATCATACAGTTGTCTCATGTTTCCCTCTCTTGCAGCCTTTTCCGCTGTCATCGCTAAATCTTCCACATATTTACGTTTGTCGGTTCTGATGCTCCTCTTCACTTGCTTGTTTGCCTCTGTGTATTCGGCTTGTGCCTTGGCTTTTTCCGCTCTTGTTCGGCTGATATTGATTGCTGCCTTCTTGTTCCTCCTTGCTTCAATCTTATCCATTGTACCAACAGTGATCCATTCCTTGTGATGGTGCATCTTTTGGCCCAGAACCTCTTGACACGTTGAAACGATTGCCTCCTTGATACCTTTCCAGTTGCTCTCCATGGTAGTCCCCTCTCCATTGAGTAGGTCATGAAAAGCCTCGAACCTGTTGCTGAGGGCTATGTTGAATTTGTTGAGTTTGTCAGCATCTCGAAGAAAGGCCGTATTAAACTGTGGTGATGTTGTCCGTACCGTTGTCCAGTGCTTCTTGAGTTTTAGTTTCATCTTGGCGACCAGCAAATGATGATCGGATGCTATATCAGCTCCTCTTCTGGTTCTCACATCCTCCATCGTCCTCCTGAACTTTTTGTTGATGCAGATATGGTCGATTTGATTCTGTGTAGTGTGATCCAGTGAAATCCAAGTGGCTTTGTGTATGTTTTTGTGTGGAAATATGGTGCCACCTATGACCAGTTTATTGAAGGCACATAGGTTTGCAAATCTCTCACCAATTTCGTTCCTTTCTCCCAGTCCATGTTGTCCCATGACGTCTTCGTATCCAGTGTTGTCCTTTCCAACCTTAGCATTGAGATCTCCCATCAGAATTGTCAGGTCCTTGGTTGGGCACTTCTCGACGATCGACTGCAGCCTATCGTAGAATTGATCTTTAGTGTCTTCATCGTAGTCATTGGTAGGCGCATAGCATTGGATGACGTTCATTGTAATGCCCTCTCTCCTTGTTCTGAAGGAAGCTTTGATGATCCTTGGTCCATGAGATTCCCATCCAATAAGTGCATTTTGTGCTTTTCTGGACAGCATCAATGCAATTGCTTGTGTATGTGGGGCATTTTCTTCTTCATGACCGGAGTATAACAGAAGTTCTCCTGAAGACAGTCGTTGTTGTCCAACCTGCGTCCAATGTGTTTCGCTGATTCCAAGAACATCCAGGTTGTATTTTCTCATTTCTGCAGCAATTTGGAAGACTCTTCCGGTCTCCCACATAGTTCGGACATTCCATGTACCTATAAAAATTGTCGCTCTGGTTGTAAGAAGGTGCATCGGCCTCATGACTTCCGAAGGAACTCGGCTTTCATCATGAGACGTCATAATTATTCCTTCTACTCCCAGGGCAGAGTTTGAATGGTTTGAATGATTTTTTCTGGTTAGCGTTTTTTTAGCGAGTTGATTTTCTACGGGATGGGGTCGCTAACCCCATGCCCAACCCTCCTCCTTTGTGTGGGCTTGGGACCGGCAGTAACCCCAGAGGAGCTACAGGCGGAGTTGATCAATTGTAGTCCTAAACATTAATGGGAAGATTTAAACAAACAATACCCCAAGTGAATCTGAACTACACCTTATTGCACAAGCAAGTGGCTATCAGGACTCAGTAGTTGAGTGGATAACGAGATGGCGTTTGAAGTGAATGGTACTGGGTTCGATTCCCAGAGTGAAAATCAACTCTGAGATACAGGAATATCCAGTTGACGAGTTCCAAATGGGACGAAACGTGCGTCCTGGATTCCACTGCTAGCCACTACCCATCTATGCTTAAAATGCTTGTGAATTAAGGCAATATCGAGGCAGCCCGCACAGTATGCACTATGCCAATAAGAGACTGACCAGTTGTAGTCTTAAACATCAATTGGAAGATTCAAACGAACAATACTAAGTGAGTTATCTAGTGAAGAGAAAAATAAACAAACAAACAAGCAAACGAATTCCTGTGATAGGCATGTACATAAATATTTGTTGTTTTGTTTATTTGTATATGAAAGTTGAGGAAAGGTCTTTGTACAAAAACCTTGAGTTTTGAAGTTCTGTTAGTTCACACAGACCAACACACACACACACTCTACGTACTTACATACAAATATATGGCAACATGTTTATACAAAGTCAACTTGTCTCACAATAAGTCACTACTACTATTATTCCAATAATTGTAAATAGAAAGGTTAAACCGTTTCTTTTATAATCCTTAAACAAAACAAAACAAACCAACCAACCAAACAAACAAATAACGTACATGAGTCAATTGAAGGTAGACCACCATGGAAAACCTGGAAGCACTGAATAGCCATTTCAACTATATAAATCTCCAGTAAAACTCCCTTTCTAAAAATAACGTACATGTTTGAACATGTCATAGGTCAATCAATCAAATTAACAACTGAAATCTATTGAATATTGAATTTTTTTGTCGTTTTAAAGAATTCCCGCTGTGTTCAAAATAAACACACAAAGTTAATGATGAAAAGAAATAAGAAAAGAAGAAAAAAAATAGTATCCACATAGTTACTAAGTTGAATCAACAATAAATAAGATGAATTTTCATTATTGATTTGAAAAGGGAGATTATCAGTAGTAGCCCATTATTGTTACTATTATTATGCAAATGAGTAAAAAAAAAAAGTAGGTGACCAGGTTTATTCATGATCGACGTTATCAGTATTTGATTGATGATAGATCAATTTTTAACTAATACAAATGGATACTATTCAATTTACTTGGTATTGGGGGTTGTTTGTGAAGATTTTTAGTAATTTTGCAGTTGAAATCATTAGTCAATTTAAGCTAGACTACCAAAGAAAACCTGGAAGCACTGGACGGCCGTTTCGTCCTATTGTGGGATTGCTTAGTGGTGCGCATCCATGAAACAGCTGTCCAGTGCTTCCATGTTTTCTTTGGTAGTTTAGCTTAGTTAAAATGACATAATTTTGATGGAGTTTTATTCTCTGAACTGGATGATTTAGTCGTGGAGCTCAGAGAACAAAAACTCCATCAAAATCATTCTCCCCCCGCTGAGATACAATTCTTCTCCACCCTAATTAAAATTACATAATAAACTCATAAACTTTCTTATTCATTTTTTTAATACTTTTATTGAATAGAATCAACATACTACTCATATGAATGAATTATCAAATATAAACAACTGTATAACAATTAAACGAATGATTCCTAGAACAAATGCAACTGTATGGCCTAGTATTATGAATAAAACAAAATCTAGAAAATTTCTACAATCCTTAACAACAACAACAACATCATCGCCATCATCATCATCTTCAATGAAACTATCAGAGACAATAATGAATATTGGTGAAGAAACTTGGATTGACGGTCCAAATGTATCATTATCATCATTAGTTAAACAAACAAATGATAGTGTAAATGTGTCAAATTGTAAAGATAATCTATCTATGAATGATTCTTCTAAAGTATTATTTGCTTCAAATGGATCATTGTCTTTAACGCAATCACCGTTGTCGCCGACGCTGCCGCCGCCACCACCGCCACCATCCTATCATAATGTTGTACATAATTTGATTAAAGATCATATTCAAACATCATTTGTATCAAATACAGAAGAATCATGTGAACAAATGAACGAGGAACCAGTATGTTATATGATTTAAAAAAATTTTAGGTAGTGGTTTACCTACCGGAACAGAATGTTATTAGGGTATAGTTAGTAAACATTTTGATAAAATGAAGAGTATTTTGATCGTCTCAAGTAAAAAAAACATCCATGTGTTTTGGATGTGTTCTTCTTTATCTAAATGGAAAGAAGGGGTTTTTGTGGAGATTTAGTGTTTTCATAGTTGAAAGCGTAAGTCAATCGAAGCTAGACCACCATGGAAAACCTGGAAGCACTGGACGGCCCTTTTGGGTTGCTGAGCTTCGTGGGTTGGTTGGAGTTAGACATTAACACCATTGGATGCCGGTTCAGTGGTGCTCTGGCGCGAGACTGGTAGGTCCTGAGTTCGAATCTCGTAAGGCGAGGTCGTGGATGCGCACTACTGAGGAGTCCCATAATAAGGCGAAACGACCTTGCAGTGCTTCCAGGTTTTCGATGGTGGTCTAGCTTCAATTGACTCATAATTTCAACTATAAATGAAGAGAGTTAGTTTAGGATAGTTTGACATCATTTACTAGATTGATCAAAGGGATTGAAATATTTAAGTGTACTGATCAATTCATTTATCATGAAATTCTCATTAAAGCTGGTAGGTTATTGTCCGAGGAAGTCCTATAGTAAATTTAGAAAGCTTACTTACTGTTTGTCGACTTGTGTAGGCCAGATATCTGTTTACAAATTAAGGGTTCGAGTATATTATACAGCAGTTGTTATCAGTCATATTTCACGTACAATCTAGACTCAGATGAAAATGATTCGATTGTGTATGATCTCCCAACTTGATACACTTGAGTTATGCTCATCCTAAATATATAATTCCAAAGCGATCTAGGCCCCCTTTGGATTATAGCAACTCTCCTACAATCAATTTCGGTTATGGTAAATGTTTGTTGAGCCCTTTTATTAACTTATGCAACAGACAATGTTATTTGGAACAATAACAATTCTCATATTTCTTTGTACTATCATGATCACTATCTTGTTTGTATAAACGTGTATGCTTGATCACATGTGACAGCCTATGCATATATGCATATAATTGAAATGTTAATTGCTTAAATATCGCTTGATAAATCATTCACTTCACCATGTATATATGTATTCGAATCCCATTATTAGCCTTTGCCTTTCCCATATGCGCCTTGATTCGATTTAACTATAAATTTGCTTCTGTATTTGCTGGCATACACACATTCGACTCTCTGATTCAAATTCTCTCAATGTGCTTATAGCCTTGTGATCTGTGCTATCCTCCAAAATACTGTAGTTTCCGCTTCTTATTGTCTTCTGATTTTAAACACTGTTGAAATTTATATATAATAATGGTTACCAAGGTGATTAATTAACGAAGCATATCTACTACCGAGTGCCATGAAAACTTTAGTACCAGTTGAGTAGTAAAATCTCAGTCAGTCAGTTAAAGGTATGAGGGCAGTTATCACTTCCCGCGGAAGGGTTCTTCTAGAGATACCTGAAAAGGAAATTGGGTTAAAAGTGACTTGAGAGCGTGACCGCAGTGCCCAAGGGACAACTGCTTGAAGTCGGTCATACACGACCTTTTTGTGGGTAGTTTTTGTGTTAGCTCCGTTCTTCAAAAAAAAACCTTACCGCCGGAGACGGAAATCCGTGGGATAAGGCGAGGTGTGCATTTTTAGGGTCGACCTTTTCTAACCCCATCTCTCCTTATGGGAAGGCAGCATCGCTGTTATGCTGGTTGTCTGAAGGAAACACCTTACTGCCGTCACACCTCTATATAGTCAGCAGTACGACTTCGCCTTTGGACCTTGGGATTGCTGCTTTTAGTCTTACCGCTCTTTAGCCGACCTGCCTGGCATGGTAGGACCTTGAGAAACGATTGTTCCAGCCATTATAGCTCGTTTGGTTCATCACGATAGGTAAGCCTGACCTCCACGTCAAGGTAGCAGCAACGGTAGCAGCAATCTAACCATTAATAAATTATAAGTAACTGTGATTCCATATGTTGAAGTATATCTATCAAAACTTTTCTAAAAATTTATTTATTTCAGATTATAAATTCAATTGAAGCACAAAATGTACACAGTACATCTATGAACAAATCAATTCAACATTTTAATAATATTACTCATACTACTGAAAATAATTTCAGTAGTAATTCAATGAATAGTTCATTTTCTACAATAGAAAATAATCCTACTGATAATATACCAAGAGCATTATCTGATATATCTGAATGTACTGAAGATGCTGAAACAATACATGAATCGAATTCTATAAAACAATCCATTATAAATTTATCATTAAAAGATGAATTATCAACGGATTTATTAACAACAAAATTATTAACATTTGATAATTTATGTACAAGTTGTCAAATACCAATAAGTAGTATGTTGAATGAAAAACAAAGTAAGATTATTTTTATTTCTGTTAGTTAAAAAGTTTTATTTGATATCGAATGTTATCAGGTCAGTCAGTCAGTTAGTCACAAAAAAAAATACTTGAACGGGGAAGTATACAAATTCCCTTAGCTTTGTATCTCTACGATACAAGGAAAACTTGATCAAAACTCTTAATTACCGAATATGCACTATATACTCTTCGGATATAGTTAATATTGAGGTAAACACCTTGCATAATACTCTTAGGCAGAACGATTACCCTAGAAAGTTTATAATTAAATATATGATTACGAAGGTGAGAATAGGCGAAATACAAACGGTGAGTAAGAATCCCTTCAATTAAAGAAGGGATGCGGCTAGTGAATTATTAACTCAGAGATTACGCAGGACAATACAAAAATCTTTCAAAGCCGGAAAACTACTATTAGTGTTTTCTGTGTGCCCAATGGTGACATATGGGATAAAAGATGAATTATCTAGAATGATCACCACAGTTTTGATGGATCAAATTTGAACATGATTATTTTTTGAAAAAAACATTATTCAAGATTTAAAGATTGATTGAATAAAATAATTTTTTATCGGTTAATACCACTTGAAATTAAAAGCTAATATTGTTAGCTCTTAATTTGTTAGTTTGTAATTTCTAGTATGTTACACCATACTACTAAAGGATAATGAGATATCTAAGTTGTATTTAGTCAACGCTAGCCGGTGGAGAATTATCACATTGGATTATTTCGTGAATTTCTTTTCACCTACTATATTTTTATTTAAGTAGTTAAAAGAAATACGTTAAATTTAGGCTGACTTTCGTTTTTGAATTCTAAAGAATATATTTCTTACCAATAAAATTCTTATTATTTCTTAGCGATCATTAATTCGTTTTTCCACTCTGTTTCATAAAATACAGATCATAATATTTCTAATCCTTCTACCATGACGAATACTACTACTACTACTGATAATAATAATACTAGACCTACGGAAGTATTACTTGATATTGGAAGACAAATCCGTGAAGCATCAAAGTGTAATAATTACACAATTCCAACATCGTATGTAACAACTGTTAATGTACCTCAGGTAAGTAGAGTTAAGTAAAGTTTTTTTTACCGAAAAAATCAAGATAGTTATACATTTTTTGTTATAAAGTTAACAAAATTATTTCTTAATTAGAGAAATAACAGAGTAATAACAAACAATATTTGTAAGCAAAGATGGATAGTGGTTAGCAGTTGAATCCAGGACGCGCGCCACTTCGTCCTATTTGAGACTCGTAAGTTGGATATACTTGCATCTCAGAATTGATGTTCACTCTGGGACTCGAACCCAGTGAAATAAGACTATAACGAGACAATACGCACAGTATGCACATATGCCAATTAGAGACTGACCAGTTGCAGTCCTAACACATCAATGGGAAGATTCAAACAAACAATACTAAGTGAATACAAACAATATTTGTTTATTTTAATCCATGTTAGTTCTGTTCATGAAAGTCAATTTGGAAATTTTCTATGAATAATTCTGTTTAAATGAACTTACTACTGACATCAATGATATAGAGCATAAATAAGCATGGAAAATCTAGTCGGTTTGGAACTTATTGTACTATACAATAAAATGTGTGATATATTGTTAATATTGAAAATGTAGAAGATTAAGAACAAATCTTTTTTTCTTTTAATTCATGTCATCTAAGATTTCGAATAGGAATTCGGTGTATGTTACTTATATCGACATAAGTAGTATATATCTCGAGTTAGGGAATAGAAGGTCTGGCAGCAGAAATTCGAGAAAATATATAAGGAAAGAATTGGAACAGAAAGTAGTTGGTATGGAAATGAAGGACAAGTGAAGTTTGAGACGATTAATTGATATTTGCAAAGGAACAGCCAAGTTCGAGACAATTGATTGGCATTTTGCGAATTAATTATTTACTGCTTTGTCCTCTGATTTCACTAAGACGTTCTGTAATTTTGAGTCCAAACATATTCGATTGTCCACACTTGTGTTCCTGTTCACTACAGTAAGAGTCTGTACTTTAGTAAATAGAGAATTTTTTTGACAATTGCTGTCTTTTATAATAAAAAAAAATAATTTCGATTGTTGCGTAGAAAATTGTATTTCTAATGTTTCGTAACTTAATATAAGTCACTTCTTCAGAGTTGATAAATTATTGTCTTTATAATTGTGTTACAATTATCCTTGATCTTTTTCAAAATCATGTTTATCATGTTACCGGGACCTTGTTGACACAGTAAAAGATTTCTCAGCCATGAGCATCCACAATCTCTCATGGAGGATTCAAACCCAAGACCTTCAGTCTCGTACAAAAATGCCTAACTTCAAGATCATAGTTCTGAAATGCAGTGTTGATAATGTCTAACTTCAATTGATTCAAGATTTTACACAACTTTTCATCCACTGACATGGATAACTGCATCATAACAGACATGGAGCTATCTCATTAGTTTAGAAGTTAAACATTCTGAGAGTATCATACTAGCATAAAACGGCCGCCCAAATATATCAGGTTTTCAATGGTAGTCTAGCTTAGATCAACTCATTTATATCCTTTAGACTATTATCAGTCATTTAACTATTACGTGCTCGTCGATTCAGAGATTTTTTTAAAAAAGTGTTCACTTTTTTATCTCTTAATTAGTATTTAAATCATTTAAATGAAGATGAAGAATTAATATTAAATTTGAATGGTACTAAATCATCATTTATTAATCAATTAAAACAACCTATTACTATGCATGATATGATTGTTACATCAAATTCAAGGAATCAAATTACCTTATCACCAAGGTAACAATCATTATTTTATATCCCTTTTAGTATTATAATGTGTTGTAATTTTGTTGTTGTGATCATCATATAATCTTTTTAAGCAAAGATGGATAGTGGCTAGCAGTGGAAACCAGTTTGACGCGCGCCACTTCGTCCTATTTGGGAATCGTAAAATGGATATACTTGCATCTCAGAATTGATGTTAACTCTGGCACTCGTACCGAATAACTTTCGTTTCAAACGCCATCACGTTATCCACTCAGCTACTGAAACCTAATAGCTACTTGTTTGTGCAATGGGGTGAAGTTTGAATTCACTTAATATTGTCCGTTTGAATCTTCTAAAAAAGGTTAGACCAGTTGTAGTCCTAAACATCAATGGGAAGATTTAAACAAACAATACCAAGCGAATACAATCTTTTTGTTTTGATTAATAAATAATTAGGAGGAGAAGGCGTTGGGTTGGAAATTTTAGGATAATATTGTTAAGTCGGCTTCCCGCGAATTCCAACAGAGCCCCCAGAGGCTCAAAAGGAGTCCCAACCAATCAGAGTACGACAGAACATTCTGGAGTTCCAACGTGGCACGCTACCATTGGTCAGTAGCAATATATGTCGTTTATTGGATTGGCTGAATTAGGATCTGAATAAGCGTTCAACCCACAAGACATATCAGTGGCGACGGGAAAATGACAATGAATATTTCTCTGGAGCAATTAGAAGCCTATATGGTGGATCAAGAAAAGAGGTTTGAAGAGTCCCAAATTAGAATCATGGAAACCCTGATGCAGAAATTATTCCTGTCCGAGAGAAACCCTGCTTCCAGTGAATCACAAGTACCACATACTGATTCAGTCATTAACGCCATACATGAATTTAATTTTGATGGTGTAGCAGGTATAACTTTTGAGTCGTGGTTTAAGAAGTATGAAGATTTGTTTTATATTGATCTTTGCAACCTGAATGATGCTTCGAAAGTCAGAATACTTCTCAGAAAACTGGGAACTGTGGAACATGAACGCTACAGCAACTTCATTCTCCCGAAGAACCCACGAGATTTTAGTTTTGATGAAACAGTCAAAACCCTGTCCCAAATTTTCGGAGAACAATCATCTTTATTTAATATCCGTTATCAGTGTTTAAAGTTAACGAAAGAATCTGGAGATGATTGGGTGAAACATGCAGGAACTGTGAACCGTGAATGCGAGAGGTTCAAATTATCGTCCATGTATGAGGACCAGTTTAAATGTTTAGTATTTATCTGCAGCCTGCGTTCTCCTGATGATGCTGATATCCGGACCAGAATCCTAAGTAAACTTGAACACTGCCCTAACATGACCCTACAGGAAGTAACTACCGAGTGCCAAAGGTTAGTGAACTTGAAGCATGATACTTCAATGGTAGAAAACGGTAACTGTCCCCATAATGTCAATGCAGTCAAGAGAAAATCCTTGCAAGGTTCCAGCACACCTAATTATCGTAATAACGGTGACAAACCATCATCTCCATGCTGGGCATGTGGAGGCTGGCACTATAAGAGGTTTTGCCCGTATAAAGAACATTGTTGCAGTAAATGTCATCGAAAGGGCCATATAGAAACCAGCTGCAGGAAAAGAAACTATAAACGACATTTTGCAAAATCTTACTTCAAGAAATACAGGTCTGGGGCATTAACGAAAAGAATATTGGTATCACATAACAAAGCTCAAAGGTGCCGCCAGAGAAAGTACGTAACCTTGAATATTAATAAACATCGACTTCAGCTTGATACTACTTCTGATATTACTTTGATAAGTCCAGAAACTTGGAAGAAGATTGGGCGACCCTCGGTGCATCGAACAACACAAATAGCACACAGTGCATCAGGTGGAAAGTTAAACATTGTTGGAGAGATACCTTGTATTGTGTCTAAAAATGCTGTAACAACAAATGCAACAGTGTATCTTACAAAGAAGCCAGCACTCGACTTAATGGGGTTGGATCTTATAGAAACACTTGACCTAGCAGACCACTCTATTAACAGTATCTGTAAACGAATCACAACTTACAACACCTCAGAGTGGAGTCAGAAAAATGCCATGCTACAAAAACACCAAGACGTGTTTCAAGAAGGATTAGGCGAGTGCACGAAGGCTAAAGCAGTGCTAACTCTAAAGCCTGCAGCTACTCCCATTTTTCGATCTAAAAGACCTGTGCCCTATGCTGCTCTTCCAATAGTTGAGCAGGAATTACAGCGACTTCAGCAAATGGGTGTTATCGAGCATGTGAACTTCTCGAACTGGGCTGCACCAATAGTGGTGGTCAAGAAGTCGAATGGAAGTGTCCGTCTATGTGCAGACTACTCCACAGGATTAAATGAAGCTCTAGAGTCACATCAGTATCCGTTGCCCTTACCAGAAGATCTTTTCGCTAAGCTGAACGGTGGCAGATATTTTGCGAAATTGGACTTATCAGACGCATATTTTCAAATCCCGGTATCTGATGAAAGCAAAGATCTTTTAACGATCAACACACACAAAGGTCTGTTCCGGTATAACCGACTACCTTTTGGGGTGAAGACAGCGCCTTCTATTTTTCAGCAAATTATGGATACCATGTTACAAGGTATTCCAGGGGCAGCAGCTTACTTAGACGACATCATAATTATGGCAGTAGATAAAATGGACCTGCAGAAGAAACTAGACCAGGTACTAGAACGCGTAGCCGATTATGGTTTTCGACTCCGAGCGGAAAAATGTGACTTCTATATGCAGCAAGTACGGTACCTGGGGTTCATAATAGATAAAGACGAAAGACGACCAGATCCAGAGAACATTGAAGCGGTGAAAACAATGCCTAGACCCAGGGACATTGCCACCCTACGATCATTCTTGGGGTTGGTCAGCCATTATGGTACCTTCCTCCCTGATCTTCATCGTCTACGTTCTCCACTAAGCAACCTATTACAAAAGAATACGAGATGGAATTGGTCTGCAGACTGCCAAGCGTCTTTCGAGAAAATCAAGCAACTCCTGACTTCCAATCTTTTATTGACACACTATGATCCTTCTCTACCGATAGTCGTCGCTTCAGATGCTTCTAACTATGGTGTGGGTGCAGTTATCTCTCATATTTTTCCTGATGGGTCTGAAAAAGCTATCTCACACGCTGCCAGATCTTTGACAACGACCGAAAGGAACTATAGTCAGACTGAAAAAGAGGCCCTATCAATTATCTTTGCAGTGAAGAAGTTCCATAAGATGATATATGGCCGACATTTTACTCTAATAACAGATCATAAACCACTACTTGCAGTTTTTGGGTCAAAGAAAGGTATTCCAGTTCATACAGCTAACCGACTCCAACGATGGGCAACCACACTTCTTGGTTACGACTTCAAGATAAAGTATCAGTCTACTACCGCCTTCGGACAAGCTGACGCATTGTCAAGATTAATATGTTCTAAATCAAAAACCCCAGAGGAGACTCTTGTAGCAAGTATAAAAGCCGAGGAAGAAGTTCATCGGGTATTGGATGACGCAATCAATGGACTCTCAGTAACCTTTGAAACTATCAAGAAGATCACTGAATGCGATAAGATACTGAGCACAGTCAAATGCTATCTCTCGTCCAAATGGCCAAACAATCGCCTTGACGGAGAACTTTTGCAATATTTTCGTCGACGGGACTCACTAATGGTTGTTGACTCGTGTATTATGTTCGGTGATCGAATTGTTATTCCGAAGTTATTACGACACAAGGTTCTCAAGCAGTTTCACAATGGCCATCCTGGAATAAATAAAATGAAATCGTTGGCTCGTAGTTATGCTTATTGGCCGTCAATGGACAAAGATATCGAGAATAAATGCCGTAACTGTCCATCATGCATTCAAGCCGCTAAAAATCCTGTGAAATGCGAACCTCAGTATTGGCCTACGCCTGCAGGACCCTGGGAAAGAATTCATGCAGATTTTGCTGGCCCAATCCAAGGAAAAATGATTCTAATTATCGTAGATGCATTTACTAAATGGCCGGAAGTATATACCATGCCAAATTGTACAACCTCAGAAACAATCTACAAGCTGTCTACCCTGTTTAGCTGTTTTGGAGTACCAGAGACCTTAGTAACAGACAACGGCTCGCAATTCGCCGCAGAATCGTTTAAGCATTTCTGTAAAGCAAACGGAATAACTCATCTTCGTTCTCCACCCTATCATCCACAATCTAACGGACAAGCAGAACGCTTCGTGGACACTTTTAAACGAGCATTACTGAAGGGGGGAGGCGAAGGGCCGACTGGGCAGGTGAACACGAAATTTTTAACATCTTACAGATCCACTCCGAATCCGAATGTTCCGGACGGCAAGTCTCCTGCGGAAGTCATGTTCGGAAGACGTGTTCGAACCGTCTTCAATGCCATGTTGCCATCCCAATTAGTTGATGAGCGCAGTCACAATCCAAGTATTCGGAACTTCAGTGTCGGCGACAAAGTTTACATTAAATCCTACATCGGGAAGAACCGATGGGAGCCAGGAGAAGTCGTACAAAAATTGGGAAGAGTTCTGTACAGAGTTCGAGGAACTTTTGGGATGTGCATACGACACACAAATCAAATCCTTAAAGACAAAAGAATGATGCAGAATCGAAGTAACCCGCCGAATTTTCCGTTAGATTTAATCTTAGACGCACCAACGCCACAAACGCCAGAGAACACTGAAAGGAAGCCGTGGACAGGGAAGACGACGAGAATAATGGGACGACGTCGCAACCCAGTTATCAAACTACAAGTTGACCCTAGGAAGAAGTCTTATTCGGGGGAGGTGTTAAGTCGGCTTCCCGCGAACTCCAACAGAGCCTCCAGAGGCTCAAAAAGAGTCCCAACCAATCAGAGTACGACAGAACATTCTGGAGTTCCAACGTGGCACGCTACCATTGGTCAGTAGCAATATATGTCGTTTATTGGATTGGCTGAATTAGGATCTGAATAAGCGTTCAACCCACAAGACATATCAAATATTATTTGTGTTTAGCTAATCGAAGTGTCTGATGATCATATGATAAAGTTTAGTGGAAAAAATCTGAGTTTAGAAAGCGGTACTACAAACCTTAATTTTAGATGTATTTGTGGAGTTCAGGACAGTAGTATATAGAATTGGGAGGTAGGTGTTAACAACTATATGTGTCTAAAGCCAACAATGTCCGTTAACTTTCGGGATAGAGACTAAGGACGTAAAATTTGGAAACTATTACACTTAAACAAAGATCCAGTGAATTTACGAAAACTGGAGCTAATTCTTACAAACGTTGAGAATTTGAAATTATAGTAATAAGTGTGTTGAATATAACGAATTCACGTACTTAGGAGTGCCATACAAGAACAATGCAGTGCGATACACTATATACTCAAAATCATGAGAAGTAAAGTTAACTACTGATTATTAATAAGTAGTATAGTAAATACGCTAGGATTATAGACTAGAAAGGAATTAAGGCAAGATTCATTTACAGAAATAACATTTTTTCTCAGATAAAGAACTAGGAGAGTAATAACTTCACTTTATTATTATTATAATCGGATTGTTTTTATTACTGGTATTAGTTTCATATTGATAAGAGGATCAATAAACTTATTTGAACAGTATGGTACTCTGTAACTGAGACTGTCAATTGAACTCTGTGAACTCAAAGTTTATGATTGTTGATGGAATATTGGGTTTGACATTTAATCACTAGGATAAAAAATCTGGAATTAAGCTTCATTTGTTCCACTTTGTATAATTGCTTGGTATGATTTTCTCTATGATATAAGATGTGATTCAACGTTATTTGGCTAAATAAAAGATAAACAGAGATGGATAGTGACTAGCAGTGGAATCCAGGACGCGCGTTTCATCCTATTTGGGACAATACGCACAGTATGCACATATGCCAATTAGAGACTGACCAGTTGTAGTCCTAACAAATCGATGGGAAGATTCAAACAAACAATACTGAATGAATTTAAATAAAAGATAGCTTGAATAACTCAGTGGCAAATTATTTGACTATGGATTTCATCATTTTCTAAGAGAATTCAACACGATTTGATCAATAAATTGAAAGGTCTGATATTCGTTATCTTATTTAGTCGTTGGTGTGGACGCACTCTGCAGTAGTCTCTGTTTTTCATTAGTTCTCCCATCAAGTATGAGTTTTTATCAGTATGTAGTTATGGAGATTATTAAGTTTTTGATTGAGGTCATGAATCGATTGATGTAAGAGCACCATGGAAAACCTGTTAGAGACAGGTGTTTACCTCAGTACAATGGAAGATGATCGTGCAGTTTCGTGGATTAGTTGAAGTTGGAAATTAATGCCGTTGGATGCTGGCTTAGTGATCTAGAGGTTGATCGTTCGCGCACGAGACCGATAGGTCCTGGTTTCGAATTTCTCTAGCCGAGATCATGGATAGGCACTGCTGAAGAGTCCCATACCAGGACGAAACGTCTGTACAGTGCTTCCAGGGTTTTTCAATGCTAGTATAATATCAATCGATTCATGATCTCAATCGAAATGTAAGTTCTTCATTAAAACTCACATCGAAACAAGCAATCTCGACTCTAAATCATCTATGTTAATGATTAAATTCTGGTACTTACTTTTTCTGGTTAGCGTTATTTTAGCGAGTTGGTTTTCTACGGGATGGCGTTGCTAACCCCATACCCACCCCTCCTCCTTTATTCGGGCTTGGGATCGGCAGTAGCCCTCAGAGGAGCTACAGGCGGAGTTAAATATTGTACTGAACCAAAAAATATTTTCAAATCTTTGTTCTGATTCTTTATGTTTTATTTTTTTAGTATGAACTTTACAGAGAATAATGAAATCAATAATAAAACCATTTCACAATCCCCTATTATTCCTTTTAATACATCAATCAATGATCAATGTCACCATCAATCTAATCAACAAGATCATTATAATTATAATCAAATGAAAGATCAATATTCAATAAGATCAAAATTGAATACCCCTATAATTGATAAGAAATTAACAAATAGCTCATTACATAATAATAATAATAATAATAATAATAATAATATTAGTAATCATAATGTTACTACTAATATTACTAATACTACACTTAATAATTCTTTAAATCGTGTTGCTGAATGGGTTAGTTCAATCAGTACACCATATTTATGTCAATCAATGAATCTGGATGATACAATCATTTGTTCATTATGTAATACTTGTTATATAAACAATAGTATTAGTGCTAATGATACTACTATCAATACTACTACTACTACTACTACTACTACTACTACTCATAATAATAATGGTACTACACATTCTATTCATTCAATCACACCATCAACATTTAATGATTCTGCAATTGGTTCATCAAAATATACAAAACAAAATAATTCATTCATAAATTCAATTTATATATCAAAAGCAAATGAAGTATTTAATAATAAACAAGGAGTTTCATTGTATAGGTAAGATTGCATTAACATATATTGATTAATTAAACAATTACTTACCTACTTACGCCTGTCACCCCTCATGGAGGTGTGTATAGGCTACCTACTCACTTACTCACTTACTCATTTACTTACCTACTTACTTACTCACTTGCTTACTTACTGAGAGAAAACACTTTATACCAAGGTTCATTTATGTACAGAAAATACAGGGGTTTTATAGTAATTAATAGACCTTGAGTTTCCATAGTAGCAGTGTGTTAAACAGTCAATCAAGATCTCGTTAGTTTAGTAGCATAGGTTCTATTAATCGCTGATTGGTTGGGGCTCTTTATGAGCCTCTGGAGGCTCTGATAGAGTTTACTTCACCTATGGACCATCCTCACAGTTATAGATGACAAAAAAAAGAAAGCACCAGTTCATTTATGGAGTTGAAAATATCATGTTTATATTAAGACTTAAATAATCTAGAGGTCGTGTATATGAGCTATTAAGGAATGAAAAGTGACTAGTGATGTCAAACCATGTCGTGAGTGAGTCACCTACTCACCGATGTCATTGCAAGATGGTTGTACAGTATTGGAAATTGATTGAAATCAGAAATATAAATCATTTGATACCAGTTCTGTAATTTGGAAGTTAAACGATCACCAAGAAGCTTTGGAGTGCAAAGTTAGACGTCTGGTGGAGTGGTAGTTGTGCGATTTGAGGAATTCCATAGTAGGGTGATACGACTGGCCAGTGCCTTCTGGTTTTCAATAGCTGCCTAATCGAAGTCCAAAAGTGTCCACAACTATATAAGTTAAAAATAATTAGGTTCTATCGGTTATAGAATAACGAATACGAATGACTTAATAGTCCCAAAGTAAACTAGATCTAAATAATAGCCTCAGACTCCTTCTCATTTTTCGTAATTCTTCGAATAATATCATCGTGCAATTGAAGAAGATCTTCGGTTAAGAAAGGGTATAGGATTATTTTGCATTCTATAATGTTCGTTAACATATTCACCAATGTTCACAGATAAATACTGTAGTTGGTTTAGTGGGTGGATACGCGTCGTAACTTAAGTGATCATGTATTTATACTAGTCAGTCAGTTAAACCAAATCGTGGCATCAGAGCTTGAAGTCACTAAGTCTTATTCTGAGCCATGTTGGTGGATGCAGACTACCTGGTTGGGGTCCGCGTGACTATCGTAACCAATGGTTGGAGTCCCTGTGTGACTTGACTCTGAATCGATCACAATGGCGCAGGTATATACACTCTTTATCTTCCCTTAAACCTTGAGATTAAAATTACTTCATATCTTATTTTCTTCCTGTACTTTATCCTTATATACAACCTATCTTTTATATATTAGCACCACTAAATCAACTATTTCTATAAATTCGGTGTTCATGTTGTTGTGCTAACGAGGTATGGCAACTTCGACCGATGCACAAATGTGCCTGATATTACGTTGTAGCTGACTGAATCAGTCAGTTGATAATTTGATCAAATATGTATTTGCCGGCATTAAAAAAGTGTAATACTCTCTATATCAAGTTTTATTCCTTATGTTTATTAGTACGTAACCTAATTATTCAGAATATATTAATGAGTGATCATTTATTAATGATCAATCAGGAATAATTATATATACACCTACAATTTAAACACTAATTGGCAAGAGCGAACGTTCACCTGTCCATTTCAGTACGAGAAAATAAGATATTATGTTTTTTTTAACCCATAGAATTGAACATAGTTTTTGCTGTACTAATCAAATACAAACTATTGAAGAAATGTCTTACAAGTGTTTTCTCACTGAAATATTTGTGACTTCTACAACAGCCCATATAGAATTTCACTAGAAACATCAAACTACTTATGAGTAGTGTAAATGTTTAAATGAAAATGTTTCAACATCAATAGCATGGATTGATTTTATTTAGGGAATTATTGAGTGGGGTTCAATCATATCGAATATGAGATTAATGGTAATAGATGATCTTTAGGAATTCATCGATACCGGATACTAACTCAATGATCTGAAGATAGTGAACTGTTTGTGAAGTTGAAGAATTCCGAAGCTCCACTCTTCTTGTTTTCCAATGGTGATCTAATTAAATTCTATCGTGTTGACAGTTTCTTGAAAACATTGAACAATATCCACATATCTTTCTTCTTAATATAATGAAAATAATTTATTGTTTATTTCATTGTTTTTTATTATAGTTCATCATTATCAGTACCTCCTCCATCACTTTTATCAAGTAGCAATGATACAAATATACCATTCTATTCATCTCATTTTATGAAATCTGATCATCTTTGTAAAATTCCTCAATCTCATTCTACTCCAATCTTTTTATCAACAAAAGAAACAAAACTACAGAATTTACAATCTTCATATAATAGTTATTATCAATCATTATTGCCTGTATCAGATAACTTGTTAGATGATTATAAATATAATCCAAATTATAATGTAGGCAATCAGTTAAATGATCAGTTGGTTAATCATGAACAAATAAGCCAAGATCAAATGACCAATTTAAATTTGTTTCGTAATCATAATAATAATAATAATTATTATTATCATCATCATCCTTACCATCATCATCACCACCATCATGATCAGCAACAACAGCAGCAGCAGCATCAACATCATAATTATCATCCTCGAACATATGAAAACGGAAGTAATAATAATAATAATAATAATAATAATAATAATAATAATAATAATAATAATAATAATAATGGTCATAATATACCACGCATATGTACATCAAAACATACACATTTTACAGAATTGTATCAACAATTAATCAATCTTGATCAACAACAGAAACAAGAACAAGAACACACATCCATTCATCCTCATCTTCATCCTCCTCATCCTTATCAACCTGATATTTGTGATAAAATTATTACTAATATGACTACTTCTACCACTACTACTAATACTACTATAAATCAATTCAGTAGTTCAATAAATTATTCTAATCATAATAATAATGAAGAAAAAACTAAAATGAAATTATCATTTAAATTTTTAACTTTACCATTATTTCGTAGTTTTCGTTTATGTAAAAAAGGGAAAAAAGAAAATTCTTATAAAATTCAACATGAAACTAATAAAATGATTATGAATACTACTAATAATACTATTAATAATAATAATGGGATACCTAAAACTGAACCAATCAAATTAACTTCTTTCAATTATTCAAATTGTCAAAAATCAAATCAATTATCATCTAATATATGTGATCATTATCATCATCACCATCCACATCATTCTCTTCCTCTTTCTCCTCTTTCTCCTCTTTCTCCACCTCCACCTCCACATCCTCCTCATTCTCCTTCTCCCCCTCCTCCTCCTCCTATTCATACAATAAATCTTCCTACAAATTTATTTGTTAATGATAATAATAATAATAATAATAATAATAATCCTTTAACTACTATGGTAACTAAAAATTCTATCAATCAATGTAATCAAAAATCTTATTTATTTAATCAATTTAATAATCAATATTCAATCAATAATAATTTAATATCTAATTCTAATCAACAACCATATAAATCGATACAAAATCAATATAACTTATGTCATACAAAAAATAATGAATTCAATCAATGTAAAAATGATAATCATCATTTAAATTTATTAAATCATTCATCATCTATGGGATTCAATGGAATCAGGTGAGTTTTCATTTTTCTCTTTGTTTTTTTGATTTGTTTTTCAATGGTAGATATGATGAAGGCCGTTTCGTCCTGTTTTGGGACTCTTCAGCAGTGCACATCCACGATCTCGCCTCAGAGATTCGAACCTAGGACCTGTCAGTCTCGCGCGTGAGCGCTTAAACTCTAGAACTGAGCCGGTATCGAACGGTGTTAATGTCTAACTTCAACCAATCCACGAAATTGAGTGACATATCCACCATTGTCTTCAGTGAGTTTACTATCTCACAACAGATCCGGTTAAACTTCACTGGTCACTGCTTCTCACTAGAACTCCAGGAAATATCTCTTGAAGCCAGTGACTAGTGAGCATATATTGATTAATAGCATAAGGGGTTTTATGGATGAGCACTGCTAAGGAGTTCCACAATAGGATGAAACAGGGCTTCCAGGTTTTCCATGGTGATCTAGCTTTAATTGACTCATCATCTCAACTATTGAAATTACTATAATATCCGAAAAAACATGGATTGGTATTGAATTTGTTGATCTACAGAATGTCAGAAGATGATGGATAAGTGCTTGATCTTAATTTGTGATTATTTAATAGTGTAAGCATCTTACAAACGATCTCGAACCCATAACTTTTAAATATTGTTGTAACTAAAATACTTTTATAGATTATTGAATTAGAATCATTTATTTTATTTTGTTTAAAACACATAAACATTGGTACAAGGAGGTATCAAATAGATATGAGTCACATAAATCATTTCATTTGTGTGAGGGCTGGGATATTGCTCGTGTGCCCAAACAGAAGCAGGTTGTTTTCTTAGGGGGCCACTTCCCAAGTCTTTTACCTAGAGATCTAATCCACAAGGCACAGTGGAGCAACGTAAGTAGATACAGTTGGTGACACACAATAGGTTCATACACCATTTGTTTCCTCAGAATCCTGGAGTCCGTATGTATCATTGGTTTGCAATTAGAATTTTCCGTGTTCACCAATCCAATTAAAGCACCAAACATTCTCTTTTCGTCCTCTGAATTTCGTAAACAACATTAACGCCGCGAGAAGGCAGTGAGTAAGACTTCCCTGATAGTGGTTATATGCACGTAGCCATATAAGAGTATTTGGAGAGGGAGAGCGAATTCTCCCCACTTACGGTCGTCCCAGGGGGGCCAGTTTACAGTCATCGATGAACCATCTGTTCATTGATTTCTAGTTTTCAGATGATGGCGAATATTAATAGCTCAAAATGAAAGTTTTTAAGAAGTTATATCCTATGAAGTTTCTTCCTAAGTCAACAAACCAAGGTTTTTGGTTAATTACGGAGAAATTCTAGTTGATCGCTTCTATTAAGTATGAACTGATAACTTTGCTTAGAAAGTTAATGAAGGTTTCATCACTCAACCATTCACTTCATATAACTTTAAAACTTCATTAATAGGGAAAGATTTTAAGTTCTAATTATATTATGCTCTGTAAGCTTCAGATAATATTAGTCTCTAATGATAATATTTTGAGTGACATGTATTACTGTACAATTCAAGTATTTAGTTTAGAAAGCATAACATCAACAAAAGTGTCTATCCAACTTATTAGTATTCCTCATTATATCCAACGATTTCATTAATATAGGAAGTTTGTCGAGATTATCAGATTTCAGGATTATTTTGGATGATAGACTGAGTTTGAATTGAAAGTAATTGAAAACTACGGTGAACTGAACAATTATTTTAATAGTTTTTGTTTCATTAAAAAACATTGTAAGTTTATTTTCTATAACTCTTAACTTACAGTGGAAAATTGTCTTCATCAGTATGTCGATCCTCTTGTCGAAGTGGTGGTGGTTGTGCCCTTGGCGGAGGCAGTGGGGGAGGTGGACCATCGAGTAGTGGTTATGAAAGTATGCATACCGGTGCCAGTGAATTGTCTTTATCTCATCAAGATTCTGCAAGTGATTGTTCTGGACATGCTAAAGAAGTTCTTACCAGGCGTCCATCCTTGGATAAATATCGTCGAAGATGTAATAGTCAACATCATCATCGTCGTCATCATCATCATTCTAAGAATCTCTACCAACAGCAATACCAAGATGAACATCATCTACAATATTTAACTACAACCAGTCGAATACTTCAGTCAAATGATATTAAAAGTAAGCAATATATTATTTTTTCTTCTATAATTGGGTATACTCATTTTGAAAAGAAATCATTGGTTCACTTGTTGAATTAAGTTGAATAATTATTTAAAATCAGAGTGAAGTCATTCAGTTCACTAACGGACCAATCATAATCCAGAAAGTGAATTTTGTTCTCCTTATGTCGAATTCGAAACATGTCAGTTATCCACCATCAAATGTAGAAAATTCCTTCATATACTACTCATAACTCCGACTTATTCTAATGTAAACTGTGTACAATACAATCAAAATAAATGTGTCAGCCATGATAGAGCGAAGTGTCATAAGTAACCAGTTGAGTTCAAGGTCAACAGAACAGACTACTAGTCATTTATGGAGAAATTCTCTTACCTCACTTTTATCAGAAGTTTGAAATGATGATAATATTGTCTAGGAAGACAATGAAAGTTTCATGACTGAACTACCCTCCAGCTCAAATAATGAAATTTTAACAAAATGTATATAAGCTGATGTGTTTCCAGTCTTATTTCTCTTGATTTATTTCGAACATACTTGGTTGATATACTAGACAAACCAGACCCTATGGCACTATAAAATACAAAATAATATTTGTACAAGATTAAGCCAAAATATGGTTGTGAACGTGAGAGACAATAATCAATAAACTGAATATAATTTAGGAACAATAAATCATATGATAATAATGTGTAGGTAGAAATGAGGTTTATAATAAGATGAATATAGATACATACAATCTAAGTACTGAATTACTTATTTATTTACTTACTTACGCCTGTTACTCCCAATTGAGCATAGGTCACTGACCAGCATTCTCCGACCCATTCTGTCCTGGGTTTTCCTTTCTAATTCTATCTAATTTTTGTTCACTCTTCTGATGTCGGTCTCCATTTCTCGGCGTATTGTGTTCTTCGATCTTCCTCTTTTGCTTTGGCCTTTACGGTTCCGAGTGACGGCTTGTTTTGTGATACAGTTGTGTGATTTCCTCAATGTGTAGCCTATCCACTACTATCATTTCTTCCTGATTTCTTTCTCCTCTGGAATCTGGTTTGTTGTCTCCCACTGTAGGTTGTTGCTGATAATGTCTGGCCAACGGATCTGAAGTAACTTGAGTAGACAACTGTTGATCAACACCTGTATCTTCTGGATACTAGCTTTCGTAGTTCTTCACTTCTCCATAGGAGCCATAGGTGGAGTTAAGTAGTGAATAATTATACAATAAAAATATATATAGAATAATAGTTCATTAATAGATCTCAGAAGTTATCCGTTATTTAACTTTCATCAAAATATAATAAAACTGATCAAATTGAAATAACTAATCCTAATAGAGAATTTTTCAGAAGACAATTAATAATCAGCTGATTATGAATAAACTTATCATATAACAAAATCACTCATTGATTAACCAATAAAAATCAACGTCATACAACGAACCAATAGCATTTAAGTATTGTTTGTCATGCATGTATATATATACATAGTAACTGGTTTTTTTTTCTTTTCTATACAATGTTTTTTATTTAGATAAATAACAATCTTGTTTCTTATGTATCCTGATATTCTACATCTCTGATTATCCCCTATTTATTCATATTTTACCATTCATCAACTTCTATCCCATTCAATTACCACTGTCTTCATACATTCAACATATGTATGCAATAGAGATAATAACAATAGACATTCAAATTTAATAAGATTCTTGTTGGAAAAATTTCAATCTTAATTGACTTTTTTTGTTTGTTTCTATGGTATTTTTAAACGTTTCTTTTTTCTTTCTGTTTTTATTTATTTGTAAACTTGTTTTGTATCTGTCAAATAAAAAAAAAACATATACAGTTTTAAACAAACATGGATACATTTATGAAGATCAATAATATTGATTGATGATACTGGATGATCATGGTGGAGGTGACGGTAACGGTGACAACAGATTAAAAAGAAGTATGGAAATACGAAAAGATTTTTTAAATCAGTTAAATACCATGTTTATTTGTACAAAAAAGACCTTGGATATTACACAAAGTAATAAGAACTTGATTAGATGTAATGAAATCGTCTATTTACATATGCGTATATATGTGTGTGTGTGTGTGGGGGGGTTAACTTCAGCGTTTTCTTTTTTTATTATTTTAATTATTTGACCAAAAAAAAATACAAAAAAAAAAACTATTTCTTGCATTTTATATTGTATAATATACTATTGATAACAATCCGTTGACAGGAATGGACTTTGTAAATTAAGTTATTGTTTTTCATTGCATTTTAAAATTCTTTCTGTTAAAAAAAAATTGATAGGTGTCTTGTTTTTTATATCAAGAGAATAATTAAAATAATACTAAACGGAACTAATACTTTTTTGTGAGGTGGTGAAAGATGGTTGATGATAAATTCTGGATCAAGATTTTATGCTATTGAGGACTTGTCAGAGAGGTGTACTTGTAGTTGTGAGGAATTGATGCTCTCTAGTAGATTCACTCCTGTTTCACTGAGATTCATAGTCTGTGATGCGATTTCTAGTCAATTAGACTGGTAGTCACGTTTAAACTCGATTAATAGAATTTGATCGGAACTAAGAAGGACTAGACAAAAATGACATTGGTTACTACTAAGTAATCAATCAATGTTATAACTAATAGCTTGTTTGACAAATTGATATATTCACAAGGGGGTTTTGTGGAAGGGGTTTATTGTGGAGATTTTAGTAATATTATATAGGTAAGATCATGAGTCAATTGAAGTTAGACCACCATGAAAAACCTGGAAGCACTGGACTGCCGTTTTGTCCTATCGTGGGACTCCTCAGCAGTGCGCAGAAGTGAGAAGTCGTGGCCAGTGGAGCTAATCCATGTCAGGTAGAGACAGGTATCTACCTCAGCACAATGGATGCTGGTAGCTCAATTTCGTGGATTGGTTGGGGTTAGACATTAGCACCGTTTGATGCCGGCCGTTTCAGTGGTCTGGAGGTTAAGTGCTTTGGCGCGAGACTGGTAGGTCCTGCGTTCGCATCTCGTGAGGCGGGATCGTGGATGCGCACTGCTGAGGAGTCCCATAATAGAAAGAAATGGCCGTCCAGTGCTTCGAGGTTTTCCATGGTGGTTTAGCTTCAATTGACTCATGATCTCAACTATATAAAAATTTTGATACGTTATTTGTACTGAAGAGAATTTCGATTAGATCGTTTTATCATTTGATAACACACAGAACCCTTCAAGAAAAATCTAGAAAATAACTGAAAATATTTTTATTGTCCTAACCGAGTAACTGCCGAATATGTTACTAATTTCAACAAGCTTTCCAGTAGCCTCCATAAGCTCAAAGTTATACATGATTCAGCAAATACCAGTGTTTTCCGTTTATAAGTTAACCTTCAAAGTAAAGATTCTTACATACTTAAAGCTTCAGTTTTCTTTTAAGTGTTGAAAAATAGGAGAATCCTAGCAACTAGGAAGTGGTGAATAGAAATATCAAAGTAACTGATAGGCTTACTGATTGGCTCACAAGTATCCTTTTAATAGTTATTAGTTGGATAGTATAAATTCATAAGATGGTGGTTAGAGGTAGTCAACAAGAAACCATTGACCTAGGTTTTGTGTTACTTGCTAATTGTCAGCAAGGTGTATCTGTAATCTTGAGGAAACTGATACCCCCCCCTGACGGATTTGATCTCTTGACATTCATTTTCACAGTCAGGGACATTACCACTGAGCTATCCGAGCCTCGACTAACCTCCTGTAGAGCTGAGTCGTATTCACAATTGATTGATCACTGGGTGGTGATCAATGTCATGCATGTCAGATCCTTATTAGTCTAGATCAAATCCATTTGAAAAAAAGTTGAAATATTGAATTTACATGTGTATAACAGCTAAGTGTCTAGAAATTGATGGAATAATAACAATAAGAAAGGATTTATGGCAATGAACATCAAATATAATTGTTATCCACAATAGCAAATGTCTCATTGTAATTCATGACTACCAGAAGACAATATATAACTGTTATATCGAGTGAGTGTGTGCTCTGTTAATATATGACGTGCTGATTCCCACCAATTAAAGAGGAGTGAATTATCGATCAGAGCAATGATACACGAAAAACCGTACGAACAGTCTTGAGTACTTATCAGTACTGCTATCTGCCAAGCCCAACCCGTTAAGTTCAAAAAACCAATAACAGCTTCTGGAATATGAATCATTATATTTCAAACATACTGGGTTTATATACCAAACAAACTGACCACATCGTACCATAAAATAGAAAATAACATTTGTACAAGATTTAGCCAAATGTGGCTGTGAATAGGGGGAGCAGTAATTAATGGACTAGGGATAACTCAAGAATGGTAAATCGTATAATAATAGTCTATAGGTCGAAATAAAGCTTATAATAATAGGGACATGAATATGAATAGTTCAGTTACTTAACAATTATACAATAGGAAATATAATGGAGAAATTGTTGAATGAATTAATTTCATTAGTCTAATGACAAAATTGTTCAGACTATATGTAGATTGAAATGGTAAGTAGTTTAACAGACACATGGACTTCTAATGATTTAAGCATATATTACACATTTGTAGCCAATGTTTACCCTATTGGTTAATGGAATCTGAGTAGGTTGGAAGAAAGTTGGGTGCAGTCGTTTCACTACATTGGATTCATTCTTGAATTCGGTGATTAAGTGTCTGAGAAGTGTACTGAACAGAATCAGTGTCAGTTGTAAATGCATTGGAAACTAAAAAAAGAAAATATGACACCTCTTTCATTCAATTCGTCTTCTGAATGGTATCTTATTCAGTATTTGAAAGATATATAAGGGCCCTGGGTCTGGGTCATTTATGAATTTTCGATTGTACACTACTTGGGAACTCGCCGTTAGAATGAAACAACCGTTTAACGTTCCTTTGTTTTGAAAATTGTTTTCATAATATTCGCATGATTTACTAATACTACCCCTTTGCACAAGATAATGTTGATCTGAACTCAGTAGCTTAGTGGGTAACGTGGTGGCGTTTGAAATGAACGATAATGAATTCAAGTCCTGGAGTGAGCATTAACTCTGGGATTCAGATATATTCAGCTGATCAGTTCCAAATAGGATGAAACCCGAGTCCTGAATCTCCCCATCAGCTGTCACCATCTTCACATAGATAGTAACGATCTTGAACAGGTGATTATTGGTCTTGTCTTCTTTCTATTTGTTTGGGGGCTAGTGAGTATTGGAACAACCGTCAAGCATAGAGTAACGGTATCCCTCATCATTCCTGCGTATTGGTTGCTTAAAGTTTTCTACGTGTATTGGTCGGTTGTAAGATATAACAGAAACGTAATAAAGTTGTTGGGATCTTAAAGTGTCGAATCAAATTCCATATAGTGTCATGAACGTGTACAAACAGAGTTTCAAATTACAATAAAACGACTCTCCAGTATTCCTTGATGTTTGTGATGGAAATTATTTAAAAAACTCAGTTATAGAAAAACAAATTTACTATCAATGTTATTGAATAATGAATGAAAATTATTAGTCAATAATGTCAATTTATGAATGTATTATTTAGAATAGATAATATTTAGGAAAAGTATCGTTGAGCAGCAAAATACTAATGTTTATTGTTTATCAGAAGGGGGTTTTGTGAGGATTTTAGTAGTTTCACAGTTGAAATCATGAGTCAATTGAAGATAGACCACCAATGAAAACCTGGAGACGTTGGACAACGGTTTCGTCCTAGTGTGAGACTTCTTAGCAGTGCGCATCCACGATCCTGCCTCGCAAGATTCGAACCCAGAAACTATTGGTCTCACGCTCGAACGCTTAACCTCTGGATCACTGAGCTGGTTCCCAACGATGTTAATGTCTAACTTCAATCAACAAACGAAATTGAGCAATCGTCTACCATTGACTTCAGTGAGTTACTATCTCGCGATGCGGAATCATTAATGAGCATTGCTGTGGAGTCTCATACTAGGACGAAACGGCCATCAAATGCTTCTAGGTTTATTGTTTAAACTTTTTTTAGTTTAGTTACGCTAAGATAACCCAGAATGAATGTATATATTTTTTACAATCTAAATAAATCCTTCATCTAGCTAATGCGATAATTCCAACAGTACTTACTTACTCCTGTTACTCACAGTGGAGCATAGGCCCCCGACCAGCATTCTCCAACCTACCAGTATCAATATAATATTTCATCTTTGAATTAAAACGAAATTCAAATATACCACACAAAATTGTCCATTCAAAATGATCCATACTCACATGTGCATACACATACATGATATAGAAAATAAAACAAGACATAATCACTGCTCGTTTCTCAGGTCACAGAATAAAATCTCAATAATATTTGTATTCATTTTAGTTAATGAAAAGACCGAGATGAATAATTTAGGTCAAGCATAACAAAATACCATTATACAATAGCAGAATGATTCGAACCGTAATGAGAATTGAGATGATGATGATGAAATGTATTAATAGAGCTGGACATATTGAGAAATTGAGTTTTCAATACAGTAATGAACGTTGGTGGAATTGTTCTAATGCGAGTTAGTGTTTATTCAGCGAGTTAGTTTTCTACGGGATGGAGTCGCTAACTCCATGCCCAACCCTCCTCCTTTACCCGGGCTTATGACCGGCAGTAATTCTAGAAGAGCTACAGGCGAAGTTTTTAATGCGAGTAGTGGAATGAAATAATATGTTCTTGTTAATCTTTTTAGTATTCAATTACTTTAGTCAAAAGTGCTTTGTTTAAGTCCAGGTTATAGATGATCAGTCGCGGCCATGATAGCACAGTCTTTGACTATATAGCTGGGGGCATCAGTTCCCTCAAATTAAAAGCATGCCTTGCTGATGAGCGCACGATATGGAACCTGTTCAGATGACATTCCTAAAATATATTCAAGTTATGGAAGCCAGTGTTTCAAGATAGTAACAACAACAGAACCACTATCACTGACAACAAACACACATTCTTGGACCTCAAGATTTCTGACACCATGCTATCACTGGATGTGAGCAAACCTTTGAAGATAATGATAATCGAACACCAAAAGTCGCTAAACAGCTTCATTTCTTAGGGATCTGATTTCAGAAATATGGGGCAGAATTGATCTTATCAGATACCCGATCTCATACAACCAGAGTATTGTATCAAGTCTCCCAAAAATAACCAAGACTTGAACAAAGCACTTTTGACTAAAGTAATTGAATACTAAAAAGATTAACAAGAACATATTATTTCATTCCACTACTCGCATTAAAAACTTCGCCTGTAGCTCTTCTAGAATTACTGCCGGTCATAAGCCCGGGTAAAGGAGGAGGGTTGGGCATGGAGTTAGCGA